CTCCAGAGCCCATAGAGCAGAGATAGCTAAAGAGAGTCGCGCAGCAGACTCAGATACAGAGGACCCGACGATCAATTCCTGATCTAGCTGAACCGCATCCCCCGTTGAATCCCCAATAGCCTCCCCCCCCAACCTTGAACCGGTGTTTAGCTGCTGTGTCGGACTGGATGAGAGCTAACAAATTGAAATTGAATCCAGACAAGACAGAGGTCCTACTGGTCAGTCGTAAGGCCGAACAGGGCATAGGGTTACAGCCTGTGTTAGACGGGGTTCCACTCCCCCTGAAGACGCAGGTTCGCAGCTTGGGAGTGATCCTGGACTCATCGCTGAGCCTGGAACCCCAGGTCTCAGCGGTGGCCGGGAGAGCTTTTGCACAATTAAAACTTGTGCGCCAGCTGCGCCCGTACCTTGGGAAGTCGGATCTGGCCACGGTGGTCCACGCTCTTGTCACATCCCGGTTGGATTACTGCAACGCACTCTACGTGGGGTTGCCTTTGAAGACTGCTCGGAAACTTCAACTAGTCCAGCGAGAAGCAGCCAGATTGCTCACCGGAGCGGCGTACAGGGAGCACCACCCCCCCTGTTGCGTCAGCTCCACTGGCTGCCGATCCAATTCCGAGCACAATTCAAAGTGCTGGTTTTGACCTACAAAACCCTATACGGTTCCGGCCCAGTGTATCTGTCCGAACGGATCTCCCTCTACCTCCCACCTCGAAGTTTAAGATCTTCTGGGGAGGCCCTGCTCTCGACCCCGCCAGTGGCACAAGTGAAACTGGCGGGGACGAGGAGCAGGGCCTTCTCAGTGGTGGCCCCCCACCTGTGGAACTCACTCCCCGGGGAGATCAGATCGACGACTTCCCTTCTAGCGTTTAGGAAAAAACTAAAGACCTGGATGTGGGACCAAGCTTTTGGCCATGCTGACAACTGATCAAAGGACCTATCGATAGACAAGGACAATGGAATGGAATGGATATATGGACTCTGATATATGGACTCTGACATGAGATAGTTTTTATGATTTTAATAGGTATTGATGTTTCATTTTAATTGTTGAACTGTTATATTTTGTATTGTTTGTTGTGTGATTTGGGCATCTAATTGTGCCTCCTTTGTAAGCCGCCCTGAGTCCCCCCCGGGGTGAGAAGGGCGGGGTATAAGTAGATGAAATAAATAAATAAATAAATCCTTTATGCGCCTGCTTATCAATTGTCATGGTCAGATGGCCTGCTATGCATTCTTTCTCCACAGGGAAGATTAATAGAGGTCTGAGAGATGGTCTTTTCACCGTGGGTGACAAACTGTACATACAGTCAATACATGCCATGTGTATGGATGGCTTCAATCCTTGCCCACTTTACCTATGCAGGGAATAAATTAAAGGTTGAATTCCACTCAGCTTCTTTGATGCCACTTCCTGCAGCCAGATGAATCTTCATTTCAAGACTCACCAGGTCCTGAAAGTACTGATTGGGTATACATCTAGCTTCCAACATCATTTGTTATCCTGGTTGGGATAGTAGAATGAAGGGATCTCTTATCTCTGAACAGCTATTAATCTGGAAGGCAAATTGTATGTTCTAGCTAGAAATCTGGCCTGCAAGCAAGAAGTGTTTATTTACAATACTACTATCTTGCCTTTCTCAATCTTAAAGGCAACTCAAGTATCCTTATCCCTTCCTTATAAAACATGGTATGAAGGTCTTGTTAGCAAGCTCTCATTCTGTTTACCTATGCAAGTCAGACTTATGGTTCGATTCCAGTGCTTTTGTTTGTTTTGTTTCAGCTCATCTTATTTTTTAAAAAATATATCAAAACAAACCTATACAAATTTCAGAGATACTTACTTTGGTGATATGGGTTGTAGTTGTAGTACTGGTAGTTTCAGATGTGATTGTCTGTGCACTCATCAGAACCCCTGGTTCAGAGTCCGCACTGGGATCCCCCTATGGAAACAATACAGAGAAACAAAGTACTGTGAAAAACGTACTAGAGACTTGAAGGTGTATGTGTATAGATGGAAGGAAAATCCACATTAACCTAGAATTTAAAAGGCTAAGTTTTTAGTGTTATTAAAAGACACGCAAAGTAGCAATTTCTTTAGCAATGATAAACAAGCTGAAAAATAATGGAGCAAATGCTCTTAAGTTTGTTTTTGTAACAGCAAGCTACAACACATATTGCACGTTGTCTGTATTTGTGCCTTCAAGTTGTCTGCTGACATATGTGGCCTATTATATTGCATAGTGTTTTCTTATGTAAGGATACTTAGAGGTGCTTTTGCTAATTAATTTCTCTGAACTGGCAATGAAAAGGAGATTCCACCTGAACATTAGGAGGAACTTCCTAACTATAAGAACTGTTCAGCAGCGGAACCCTCTGACTCGGAATGTGGTGGAAGCACCTCCATTGGAAGTTTTTAGACAGGCTGGATGGCCATCTGTAGGGGGGAATTTGATTGTGCTTTTCCTTCATGGCAGGGGTTGGACTGGATGGCTAATGTGGTCTCTTCCAACACGATTATTCTGTGATTCTATGAAATACAGCCTATAGCACTTGGAATTTGTTGATGGTCTCCCATCCATTAGTAACCTGTTCTACCATATTTTAAATCAGAAAAACTAAGAGAACCAGAGCTTTTAAAAATCTAATACAACCATGAGGAAATTGTTGATTGTATTTCTAATTTTTGATTGTATTTCTAATTGTTGATTGTATTTCTAATTCTTCAGCAATACAATTTTGTACACAAATTCCCATGGCCTTTGTTGTCCTATTCCTAGCATAGCCTGTATTTTATCTTTCACAGCATCTGCCCATATTATAGTCCTACCTGTCTTTTGAGTAATCCTTACCTCAGATGATTCGTATGTAATGGTTTTTGTCTCAGTGTGAACGACAGGTACTTCTTTCATAGAAATTTCCATCTTCTCCCCACCTGAAGAAACACTGCCGAAGCTAATTGCTTCAGTCTTCACAATTGGTGACTGTTTCATGGAAAAGTAGGCACATTGAAGTTATTGGGTTTTGTAGTAGCAATATGTGTGAAATATAAGCAATACCCTACTGATTTCTTTATACAAAAAGAAATTCTGCAACAAATTAACTACACTTTACAACAATAATTTGGTCTAAATCAGTGCTGAATTGAGTGCCACCTTTAAAAAATAGGTAGCTATGAAACTAGATTCACATATGCAAGCTTTTCTTTAAATAGTTTCAACATGATCAAAATATGTTAAACATTTTACAAACAGCTGTCTGGGAAATAAGTAATTTCTATTAATGAATTGGGAAATCCATTCAGCATAGATTATTCTTCTCAGTTTTAACATGCACAGCGAAAAATCCCGTTGCCTAGATAAGATAAAGCAACAGGTACATTCCATGGAATAACATGCAATGTTCTTGTCTCAGGAAAATCTAGTTACTAGTCACAGTGGCTATTTATTTATTTATTTATTTATTTATTTATCATGCTTATATACCGCCTTTCTCAGCCCAAGGGCAACTCAGGGTGGTTTATATATTACCTTAAGAGGTATATTACCTCTTAAGATCAAAAGCAATATGGTTCACTACAGCAGTTGAGAAAGAACATATTGGAAGGATGCTATTGAAAAAGTGCCTTGCTTATGGATTCCTTGGGCGACTGTCTGGCCACTGTGAACACAATGCTGGACTAGTAGGGCTTTGGCCCAGTTCTTCTTTATGCTCTTTAATTTATAATAGCCAACATGATTAGCCACTAATCTCCAGCACTGTGCACTGTTCTCTATGAATGGTAGGAACAAAAAAGAACATTCATAACAATGAAACAACAGCAAGCCTCAAGACTGCCATGCAAAGGAGGAAAGCGGGCTGTTTCCCATGTGACACAAATGTGTATATCTTGGCAAAACATACACATCTATGGGAGAACTCTGCTGGCACACTGTATGCTGTCACATGTATTCCCACTCACAAATGCATCGTACTTATTGCATGCAACTGCCTACATGTATGGTCTAAGTTCCACTTTTCTACACAGATCCTTCCCATTTAAGAAAAAACTACACGAAGCTGTCCTAGCACAAGAAGCAAACTGCTCACGATAACAGTATAGCTGCTAACGTGTGCTTAATAAATAATTCATAAATTCAGAATAGTACATCTGTTTATGCTTTATGCAGATTAGCTCATTAGATATTAATTACCTCAAAAAGAGGTTTTCTGTCTTGGGCTGTTGCACTCTGCTTCTCTTCCACATGCTCATGAGAAACAGTAACAGTTCCTTCCTGTTTGGTTACAGCTTTTTCAGCCTCTCGCCTTTTTTCCTCTTTAGCCCCCTCAGTCACTGCATGGCCCTCCTTCCCTTGGATGCTAGAAGCCACATGAGATACTGCCTCTGCTGTAGCATCCAGCTGAATGGCAGCCAATTTAGCAGCATCCCCACTCGCATGCGCACTCATCACATGTTTTTCCTCCACAATTACGGTTCCCTGCACAACCTTCTTTACGGTCTCCTGTTGCTGTTGTTGCTTCTGCTCTTCTTTGGGTGGCTTGTCACCAGGGTGTATCTCTTGACTGGACTTTGCTTCTGTTCTCTGCATGAAAAATAGCTTAGTATCAAAGACTAGCTTGGTATATAAAGATATCACTAAAGAACATTGAACTTGTCCATATGTTGATTTCACTTGCATATTTCCTTGAGTGTTCAAAAACTAGGTAGAGGTAAATGTGAACAAAACGACAAACAATTTGTCCTTATAAATATTAAACCCCAGTGCATGTTCAATGTACTAAACAGTTAAAGGAGAAAAAGAAACAAAATGAAATTTCTTCTGAGAGTTTTATGTGTGCCTAAATCTAGGAGGGGATGTTATCCAACATGCAGATCCTGAGAGTGTTTATGAATGTGGGTGCAGCATACTTACATGCAAAATAATAAGGAAAGCCCACTAACTCTACAACCCCCCCCCCAAGCCCCATAAAATAAAATAATTCAAATCTAAAGATGGAATCAAATGGCCACCTGTGCCCAGCTATGTGAAGTAGATGTAACCCCTCCTATGAACTCTGTTGGTTTTCTTGCAGACTCTATTAAAGTGAAGATATCAGAACCATCCAAAGTTTTTTCACCGGAGAGTTGCTTTTTCTAAATAGACAGAGAAATGTTGAGTCACACATATACATGCACACAGAGAGAAAGAGAAGCAGACAGACACATACTGATTATGTTAATTGCCAAAAACAGAGACAAAGAAAAAGGAAGAAAAGTGGCAGGGGTAATAGAGAGAAAAATAATGGGAAATTAAATTAGCATAAGTAATGTCTATAAGCAGTAATTTTTAAAAAAGCACAGTTGTTAGCGCTGGGATTTTGCTGGTCTTGTGAAGCATTTTTTTTCTTCTAAAACAAGCAACAGAAGCATATCACATTTCAATAATACTGATTTTTAAAAAGTTTAAAAGCCTAAAAAATGCCTGCTTTGTACAGTGTTAATTTACTTAAACCATGAGGAAATTATAAGAAGCTGGGTTGGCTGTTGTCAACATAAAGCCAGGCAGCAAAAGGACCAAAAGGCAGGGTAGTGAGGGTATTGCCTTAAGAAGTCATGCTTTTATCTTTAAACTGTGGCAAAGTTGCATGTTACCACTACTCTTGAGGCTGTTGATTCAGTAACATAGTGAGCAGTAGCAATGGTAAAAGGTGGTTCTCTGGAATAGTTCCACTCAGATATACTTTTATCTTTCCGACCAAATGCCTCTCCTTTTATTCTTTCACTTTCCACAGATTTTTCAGTTTTGGTAATTGGCACGCTCCCTGCTCCATCACGCAGTTGCAAATCCTGGTCCATCTTTAATGTTTTCTTCACAATTTCCTCTTCGGGACTCTGCAGCCGTGAATCTGTCTCCTTAATGGGTGTCAACGATTCTGATACTTTTCTTTTTGCATCAGATAACCTTCTGGCTTTCTCATCAGTAACTGGTTCTAGAATTTCATATTCTGCTACTACTGGAATGATTTTCACAGATTCTGGCACCGCCCTTTCCATTTTTTGAAATGCTTCAAGGGATGATGGTACCACTTTTTCTCCCTCTTTTACTTTAGTGGTCATGGTAACAATTTTCCCAGAGACAGTGTCGTAGGATTTTCCTAAGGTGTACATTTTCTGCTTATTGTCATCTTTTGATTGCAATTCACCTTCCAAGTCCTCAAAGCTCTGTATATCAATGGCGCTGGTCTTTGAAAGATCAGCTGGGATGTCACCAGTTTTACTGCTCACAGTCGTTACTTTGTATGTCACAAAGGTTTTCGATTCACCATCAACTACCTCAATGGGTACTTTGTCTACAATAACCCAGTCCTCAGTGCCCTATATTTGAAATATAAAAGCTAAATTAGAACAACTAATTGTTTACCTGTGTGCCAGGAAACTAACATATAATATACTTTATGAAATTATGGTAGCCATCTTGAAAGCATATATACATTTCTGCATTCTATCCTTATTTCAACATGAATATAGTTAATCATTTCAGTTGTACAACTCTACAAGCCATATGAAACTAAACTGACATTTACATTTATTTACAATATTCTAGTAACTATTCAACATATTTCAAAAATTTAGTCCCAGACATGCATCCCAGTATAATCCCAATTACTTCCAAATAAAAATATTTAAGGCTGTTTCCAGATGGATAACTTCTAGTATTAACTGTCTAATATTGCTGCATTGCTATTCCTCTCCTAAGAAGGAGCTAGCATGGTATAATGGACTGAGCATTGGACTAGGACCAGTCTGGGGATCAGGGTTTGAATATCTGCTCAGCCAGGGAAATCCACTGGGTGACTCTAGAAAAAAATCACACATTGTTAGCCTCAGAGAAAATCCCCTCTGAAGAAATCTTGCCAAGAAAACCCTGTGATAGGTTTGGCATGACAGAAAAAACTTAAAGGCACACTACAATTCCTTAAATATTTTTGTGGAAAGAAAAAAGTTGGAAAAAGTGGCAGGAAAACCATGGGAATGGGATTACAACTACAAGTTGATGACCCTTGTAAAGTTCCATGTTTTAGGCAGGAAATATACACTGAAAGCTTTGAAAGCACCCTAAGGCTACATATTACAGTATCAATGCCCAAGTCTTTTGAGGCAGATTCTGTGGTATTTTAATTAACATGCATACTCAGTGCCCAATTGCATAATTAATGGTGCAAGATAATTTTCTGGATACTAGTTTGATAAGATGCAATAACAATGCCAATGAATTACCCCTCTTACAGTTAAATTATATTTGTTAGAATATGGGTTATGGGGAAAGTTTATGCACATTTTATGTGTTAGTTAACAAAATATATGCACAAACATAATCCTTCTTTATGTGGGCACAAGAAAAATCTAAGGTTCTGCTCCCACTGCATTCCCTAAGCAATCTCAGGAAAGTCAATGTATATTTCCAAATAGGCTTACCTCTATGTTCATATAGCTAAATTATATATCTTTAAAGTTATGCATTCACAAATTCCCTATGCATATGACCTGTACAAGCATGTTACTGGGAATTTGTGAGGTTTGTAGATACTTCCTGGGCTTTTCACGATATTTGCATATATACTCTGTGAGAAAATGAAAACCAAAGGGCTTTCAGGAACCTACTGAAGTCTATTTGGGATGTAAAGTCTGAAGAGGGAACAACTATGCTTACAAAAATGAAAATGTGCCAGAATCTAATGCATGTGTACAATAGATTTTGCACAAGGAAACTGATATTGGATCTACAGTCATACGGTATGGAGGGTGCCTTTCATCTGCCCCTTGCCTCCAGTGTGAATTCTACATTTCAATAGGTAGGCAGCAAGGAGGGACAAAGAGAGACATTCAAGTTATCTTCCTACACCCTAAAATGTCATGCATTCCATCTGTACATACACATGCATGTATGTTGTCTAGATTCACCCCTCCTTATCAGGCCCAAAATCTGCCCATCAACTGGAATATATATTTGCTGTAATGTGTGAAGCACATTTGGGATTCTTCATCTCATACAGGAAATTCACTTTAATAGTGTGTTACTTAAATAATATTTTCAGTGAGAAATCTATTTGCATTTTGAATGCAGGGATTAAACATATGGATATAAGCATGCACAATAAATGAAGGGATTCTATACTCCAAAAGTTGAGGCTGCAAGAAGATAAATCTTAAACAGAATTTTCCAATACCCTTTCTAGCATTCTGCTCCAGAATTCTAGCCACCACTGATATTTATTGGCATGTGTTCATCAAAAGGAATGTGATATGCTTACTAAATCAGTGCCACAAGAACTAGCCTCTTAGAATGCATGTTTCTCCTTTTTACCTGAGAATCAAGGAATGTAGTACTTTCATTCTGCAAAAATATACGCTTTTCAGATTTTTCTCTTTCTTCTTTGGTCTGATGAAGAAGAAGGATTGAGGAAGTGTATATTTTTAATAAAGACCTGTGACTTAATAAACAGATGGTTTTATATGTAATTCATAGCATGCTTTTTCATTCTCTTTTATCTTCATATGAGCATAATATAACTCACTGAGCTATTTACTTGGAACAAAGTTGGAACATGAATGATTTCTAAGTACTAAGAGAAAATGTGTTGCAACTCGAATTTCAAACTAATAGCAGAATCTTATAAATAATTAGCTATGTTGATTTTGGCACTTATTCCAGGGGCTGAAGGCATATTTAATTTTGTATCGAACTGGGATACAATACTGGGTTGAGAAATGTTAAAAAGCAGTCTCTAACAACAGCTTACAGAGCAATGTGATACCAGCTGCCAATTACACTTGAGCTCCTGTACAGAATAGACACATGAGGACAAAAATATGGGACATTCCTACTCTGGATTTCCCAGAGTTGTTGCCTGGGGAGGTTTCAGAAAAACAGCCATATGCTGCCCCATTGATCATTAAGTTATTATATAGCACATTGAGATAATGTGAAACACATTTAGTTACCTGCACATTTGTTTTGTTTGCTCTCATATGACAATCCTTCCCTACTCTATATGTTTTTCTCTAGTTGTGTTATGCTAAAAGTTTCTTTTGAGGGCCATTTTAGTATGTGAAAGCTCAAGATTTCTGAAATATAACTTTTTCATTTTGCTTACTTTTCACAAAGATTCAATCTGATGGAAGCACAACACTATAGATACCATGCTAAGTATAGAAGCAGGCAGTCTATGTGCTCCAAAAGGTGTCTATTAACAGGTAGGTCTTCTATTTCTCCAAAAGAGAAATAGAAGCTGAAAAATTATAGCTGGATCATATTCATATTCAACTTGTAATAAATTATTCAGGGTGTTATACCCTCCATACTAATTTGTTCTAGCATGAAACAAGAAAGTCACAATCAGTAATCTTGTAAGGAATGCAAAGAAAAAGAAATTCAGGAATATAAATTTGAATCGATGACTGATCTGTAACCAGTATGCCATCTATTATCTTGCATGTAGTTACAAATAGAGTTATGAACTTCTTCCATCTTTTTTTTTTACACCCACCTACCAAACAAATCCTTTTAGTTTCATTTTTTTAGCATAATCCCACGATTTCACAAACTTTATTTCTATGAAACCTAACTTAATCTGCAATAATCAAAGAAATTAAACTACTTAGTCTGTTTTGTTGTGATCATTTCCTTGGCTTACTGAAGTCAGAAAGCAGAAAATTAATTACTCACTTCTTCAGGCACAAGTGGTTCAATCATAGGAGCTTCTTCATGTCTTGCAGCAAGCCGAACTGGTGATGTTGAAAGTCTTTTCTCCCATTCATTGGCCCCCGTGGTATCTGTGGAGGTTTCCAAGAATGTCCTTTTCAGCTCACTTATATTAGTCTGGTGTTTCATCAGGTCCTCTTGATTTTTATCTAGTTCCTGGAGGAAGGAGAAATGCAACCTTTTGTAATGTTGATCATTCAGATTGATAGGATATAAATAAATTGAACTGTTTAAATTATTAGTCAGCAAAATAAACCCTGAGGGATTAGGTCTCACAGCACTACCACAACACTCTTAGGAAACTATAGTGCTTTGAAGGATACTTGCACAGAAACTCTTAGGACACTTCACGCATTACATTCTGACAAGCCAAATGTATGCTCATCAGGAACTTGCAGCCAGTGCCAGCTCCCTTATGAGTATACCTATTTTAAAGATGTATTTACAAATTGAGTTTCACTGCATTCATACGTTAGAATATTACTTATACAAGAGCTTTTTTTTTCTTCGTACATTTTAAAATGCAATGTATAAAGTGGTCCGTGGTCATTTGAGCACCCAGTGCTCTTAAATATAGTCAGAATTCACACACATTCTAAAAGCTACCTTGTAAAGAGAGGGGTGGGAAATCTACATACAAACACAACAGAGTCCTAAAGAACAGTGTAACAAAAAGTCCTAGTTCTAGAAGAGAGATTGATTATTAGCAAGTGAGAATACACATCTCATGCATCATAGTGCAGATTCACAGCTTAACCACTATTTTCAAAACACATATACATTACATGCACTGGTATATACCAATACCAACCTCTAACATAAGATTACTATGTTTGACATACACATTTTCACCCTTTATGCGCTTAATCAGACTATTCTGAAAAAAGTGAAAGAGAAGGAAAAGTAAGGGTAACAATACTGAAAGTATACAAAAAGCTGCTCTGGGGCAATAATGCTAAATACTATGCCAAGGGAAAGAGCGCCAACAATTTAGTCACAAAAGATACACACATCCCATTTTGTCACCTACCTGTGTCTTGAGATCACCATCTTCTTCCTGATCAGACTGTTAATACAGGAAAGATTTTAAAATGTGATCTCACAATTAAAATGTTCAAACAGCTAGAAACATTAGTAACCATATTCAACATATGAATAATTTTTAAAAAGTCTTGGAGTACCTTTCAAACTGGCAGATTTATTTCATCATATGCTTTCTTAATTATGATCCAGTTCCTGATGACTGGTTATTCCCCAGTGTATCTTAAAAGGACTGGTTAGCATAAACCTTCTGGCAAATGCCTCAGGGCTATCTAATTTGGGCATATAAACCTGGTCTTAGAGCTTATTTTCCAAGCACCTATGGACAGTCTTTCCATGGCAACAGAATACAAAGACATAGCCATAATTGTGTGGACCAAAAGCGATCTCGTAGCTCATTAGAATTAACTAATATAAAGAAGCTGAAATCATAAGCTTTTGTAGACTAAGATCTGGATGGGGCCACACTACCCCTGAAGACACAGGTCCACAGTCTGGGGGTCCTCCTGGACTTATCGCTAAGCCTAGAGGTCCAGGTGTTGGCAGTGGCCAGGAGGGCCTTCACACAATTAAAACTTGTGCGCAAGCTGTGACCATATCTCGAAGAGCCGGATTTGGCCATGGTGGTCCATGCCTTGGCTGCATCCCATGTAGACTACTGTAATGGGCTCTATGTGGGGTTGCCCTTGGAGAGTGTCTGGAAACTTCAATTGGTTCAGAGATCTGCAGCCAGGTTATTGACAGGTGCTGGACCCAGGGAGCATACTACCCCCCTGCTAAAGCACCTGCACTTTCTGCCAATGCCTTTCTGGGCCTGATTCAAGATGCTGGTTTTGATCTGTAAAGACCTAAACGGTCCATAAATAAAGTTTATTATTATTATTATTATTACTTATCTATCTGACTGCATCTCCCTGAATGTTAGGATCCTCTAACAAGGCCCTCCTCTCGTTGCCACCACCATCGCAAATGCGGTTGGCAGTGGGCCTTCTCGGTGGCTGCTCCAACTCATTGGAACTCCACAAGGAGGTTAAAACAGCCCCTTCCCTGACATATTTTAAAAAGCAGCTAAAGTCCTTCCTGTTCATGCAAGCTTTTGATGAAGACACTTGGCAGTAATGACAGGAAGACTTTTATTGAGTCATGCTATTGTTTACTATCTGTCTTGTTGAGTTGCCTGAAATAATTGTATTAGTAAAATGTTTTTAATATGTTTATTTATTTCTTACTGTAAATTTGTATTTGTATATTATTGTTTTGCATATGGATATTGTTTTGTATTTTTAAAATATAACGTTGTAATTCACAACGGGGTTACACTCCCCCTGAAGCCACAGGTCCGCAGTTTGGGCGTCCTCCTGGATTCCTCGCTCACACTTGAGGCTCAGGTGTCGGCGGTATCCGGGAGGGCCTTTGCACAATTGAGACTTGTGCGCCAGCTGCGACCGTACCTCGCGAAGGCGGATCTGGCCGGGGTGGTCCATGCCTTGGTCACCTCTAGAATGGATTACTGCAATGCTCTACGTGGGGCTGCCCTTGAAGACGGCTCGGAAACTTCAATTGGTCCAGCGGGCAGCAGCCAGGATGCTAACCGGGGCTCATTATCAAGAGAGGTCTACCCCTCTGTTTAAGGAGCTCCACTGGCTGCCATTTATTTTCCGAGCCCAATTCAAGGTGCAGGTGCTCACCTACAAAGCCCTGAACGGTTTGGGACCACCCTACCTGCGGGACCGCATTTCCATCTACGAACCCACACGCTCACTCCGATCATCTGGGGAGGCCCTACTCGTGATCCCACCCACGTCGCAAGCGCGCTTGGTGGGGACACGGGACAGGGCCTTCTCTGTGGCGGCCCCCCGACTTTGGAATGCCCTTCCAAAAGATCTCCGACAGGCCCCTACTTTAGCAGTTTTCAGAAGGAACCTAAAAACCTGGCTGTTCCGATGTGCCTTCTCAGATTAGGAATCCCCATCCCAAGTTCTAGAAGCACTTTAGCACAACCGATGTTACTGCACACAGCACCTTTACTCCTACGTTCCTCCTGCCATTTCAGCATTTTAACCCCTGTACCCCATTGCGCCGGCCGAACCAGTTTTAATAGTGTCTTGTTGTAGTTGTTGTTATTTTGCTTAACTGTTTGATTTGCTTGTTTATTATTGTGCTATGCTTTTATTGTATTGTGTTGAGGCTTCGGCCTGTGTAAGCCGCATCGAGTCCTGCGGGAGATGCTAGCGGGGTACAAATAAAGTTAATAATAATAATAATAATAATAAAGTTGCTTTGGGTCGCGTTTAGGGAGAAAAGCAGGAAATAAATAAAGATTTATTAGATAATATTAGTATATTATCTGCTTCATCAGACACCTCTGATAGATGAAGTAGATTTAAGTCCATGAATGTTTATGTTACCAGCATCTTTACTTTAGTTAGACTCAAAGGTGCTATGAGATTCCATCGGACATAACTGTTAATCTTAAAATTACTGTAATATTAGTCTTTTTCCCCTTCCCTTTAAAGACAAACATGAATATTACGTATAGATCTTTATAAAGCATTTTAGCAAATGTTGTGGCAGCTCTGAGCTCTCAGGGAACTAAGGGTATGTAGGGCACTGACACAGGGCAATTACGTTTTAAGTATTTGCAATTAATGTAGTTCTAAAATTATACAAGCCAATGTAGAAAGAAAAGCAACAAGATATTAATAAAATGCTTGTGGCTGGAACCGAGCACAGCCTCCAAGATGCCGAAGATGGGAAAGCCTATATACCTCTTTCTATGTACAGTTGTCTGTCTTGTTATTGTATAACGTAACTTAATGTTTGCCGAATACTGTATGGGTTCTGTGATCTGCTTTGAGTCCCCTTCAGGATGAGAAGGGTAGAATATAAATACTGTAAATAAATGTAAATAAATAAATTTATTGGGGTGAAAAGAAATGCATCATTTTCAAAGTACACTCCTTTCATATGTGAATGCACACCATTCACCATGGGCAAAAACTTCCATTGACCCGTGACAGTAAATGTCAGATTAGAATGTTGTTCTGATTCAAATTATCTACTCTATCAGGGGATTTTAAAATATTGTACTTTAAGGTAGATTTGTAGGGGTTTACTTTAATCAGGACCACAGTTGGGCACTTTTCGACTTAGCAAAAATGGAGATACATATGAAGGACCCTTTCCTTAGTGCAATTAATGGGAGCTTTCCCTTTAAAGTTAAGTAAAGGTAAATTTTAAAAGGAAGACTAGTATTTTCTAACCCAGACTGTGGTGTGAAAAACCCTGAAAATGTGTCCTTCAAAGATGTAGGATTGCAATCCCCATAAACACAGGCAATGGTGAAACCATGCAAATTGCAATGTAAAAACACCTGGAAATCCAGAACTGTCTACAACGGATTTACACAGATACACAAAAAATTACAATGCAAGCATGTATTGTGTATTCTAAGAATAGAATCAAAGTCCAAATATCTTGTAAAGAGTTATGCTCAGTTTCATTAATAAATATACACAGTGGCATGGATGGACCTGTTTTGTTGTATGGTATATGATATATTTTCTGGCAAAAATCAACAATACAAACCTCTGTGGCAGTGGTTTCACCATCAGCTGCAGTATCCGTCCTTTCACTGTCGGTCTGTTTTGTGGCAAAAATAGCCAGGTTCCAGGAGGTAAGGAAGAATAAAGAATAAACTCCATTTGTAAGTAAACCCAAGTCATAAGGTATTTTACAGTATTATCCCTGTGAACTGCACCTGGGTTGTTTTTCAAACTACTGACAATTTAAAAGAAGCAAAAGCAGAAATAAACAGACCAGGCTCAGAGGAAGGCTCAAGGTATACTGTACAAAGTATGTGGCTTTTGTATTGAAGCTTTAGTAGCCAAACAAAATGGTTTCTTTTTTTAAAAAAAGTATGTACTTGGAGCTCTGAATTCTTCCAAGGAAAGCCAGGTGGCTTTAAGAAGAAGTAAACACTGTGAAAACACTTTTTCATGTATACTTTTCATGAAAAAATACAAAAAATGTTGATAGTGGATTCAACATTATATTTAGAAAGGAAAAAAATATAATTTGGTTTTATACATATACAGCTACTTTAACAGTCACCTGACTTTCAGCCCCTCATTTGTACAGGTTTTATTTTCCTCACATAGAAAATGGCCATAAAGCTGTCTGCATTACTATAGAGGTTAAACAAACATGGTTAAAGATAACAGAATCTGCTACATCATGCCTTTGAGAGAATTACAATTATACAAACATCTGTAATTGCTCAGGCAGAGATTCTGATGACTAATTCCAAAACTGCAAGGAAATACTAAACCAACATAAAGGCAGTAGTTTTCATTCCAGTTTACAAAACAAGACCAAAATATTTTAAAAAGAAAAGAACACTGACATTTAGTCGATACAAATGATCAAAGTGAAACAAACCACAGCATTATCTATCTTAATCTATTGATGATTTAGAATGTATCATGAATACCTGAACAGATAATGGTGCCTGAAAATGAACTACAGATACAGGTAGAATTAATTTAAAAATAATAATTGTGTTAGTTAGGATGGGGTTGAATAAACTTCTCGTTTTAATAAATCATTCCTATAAAATTAACATTTAAAGACAACTCAATGCTATAAAGGGACTCCATTTTTAACCATTCAGATTCTGCTAGCATCACTAACACATTACTGGTCATAACCATGGCACGGCTATAAGTCTGTGTTAGTTTCTGATAGCCCTGTGAGAATTGGGTGAGAGTAGTGTTGGCTCTAAGAGAAGTCATGAAAACCACGTACAGAACCAACTCCCAAATCACAGGAGTTAACCAGCATATAGATGCAAACATGCACTTATAATTGAATAAACCCACATGGGTTTCAAATAGCATATAATATGAAATGTAACAAAATATACTGTTTTTGTAAGAAAGCAAACCTACCGGGAATATGAACTATTCAGTTTAAGATTTGTTTTGTGCCCACACCTCTTCAGATACCACAGCTGCCTTTTTCTAACTTGGGTGGACAATTGTGAAAATGAGAGGGAGGGGTTTTCAATCTGAAGAAGTGTACGTACAAAGCAAATTCTAATGGAGTTGTGTAATTTCTAATTTTCTTATAACAGTTTATTTTGTTATATTTCACATTACAAACTTACCGCAACTTATTTGGAAATGGTTTGTATTTATTCAGTTGTAAGTTAATGTTAAATGTCACATGTGTTTTAATTCCTCTGATGTGCTGATCTAACATAAACCTATCCTTGTTCATTCAGTCTAGAATATTTATCCAGTTATTCAAGTCACTGTAGTAAGTTGGTAGGCAAATACAGGTTGATCACAGAGCAGCAGGACAAGTTGTTTCCATGAAGCAGGTCTCATTCAGGAGATTTTCAGTCTATATCTATAGGCAATCACTCGTGGTCAAGTATGATTGTCTTCCATCTTAGGAATACGTAAATATAGGTTTGCAGTCACATGCCATTCACCTTATTTGGACAAACTAAACAGTATGTTGAATATATGAATGCACTGTGTATCTTTCTTCTGTGTTTCCAAGTAATGGACGTGAATCCCCCAAAGCTATTACTTTTAGAACTGTATGAAGTATATTACAAATGTAAAGTACTATCAATGCCAATAGTAGTATGCCTTATTGATAGGGAGGGGAAAATGATTTACATGGGGGACAAGTGATGTTAAGTTCTCATCCTACATATCACCTTTTCATCTCATTGGGTCTTCCCATACCTACTATTTTTTCAAGCATACAAGAAGGACGCGTTAAATGCATATATACTTTTAATATATTGCCTACTTTCACATTTGGAATACCACTCAAACATGGTTTATTTATGTGGTATTATGGGGGGTAGTCGAATTCTTTCTCACTTCAGAAAGGTTAGAGGTGAGAATGCTATTTTGACCTATCTTTATTTCAAAAGAAAAACAAAATATCTGGGGAGGTTTGACCTGTTCTTTTTGTTTGCTTACACCAATAACCCAATATAGTTATAGAGTCTGATCAAAGTTAGGTGTCCTTTAAACATTAGATCAATAACATCTCTAACGACGGAAAAGGCTGTAGCAGAGATCCCTTATATGTGGACATGTTTAGACTACACAAGATATTCAAGGATGTATAGACATGCACATTTCCCTTCTTACACTTTAGGATGTATATGTCATCAATATTTTTGCCTAAATTAGGATGGCATTCATCCATGTTTGAAATCTGACAATTCTTGAAGCCCCGGGTCTCACAAAAATGCCACTTTGTGGCTGCATGTGGGCTTTATGATTCCCACATATGATCATGCTACACTTTTGATCAAGTAATACTACCAGATATGCTGGTAATTTTCTAAGGTAAAGTTCATTGGCTACATTTTGAATCAAACATTACTTAGGGCGATCCCTTGTTGACCGAGTAAAATTGTCTTCCAAGTTCGGTGTACTGGCGGTGGGTACGGTAGGTGACTGTGGAGCCCTATTCTTGATATGTGCATACAAATACTGTATTGCAAATGCTACCAATTTAAATAAAAAAGTTTTATATATAGTAATAACTACTGGGATTCTCAGGAAAGCAGCTGTTTTGATGGTAGTCTGCTTAAAGAATATTGGGACATATTCTAGTATTTGAGAAAAAAATTCAAGCATTAAGTTGAGAGTAACTGGCTACAATCCTACATATGCCTACCTGAGGGTAAGTCCTATTGAATTATGTTGGACTTATGTCTCAGTAGAAATGTTTTACTTACAGAGGGAGTGAATTCAAGTACAAATGCTTAAAATATTTCCTCAGGTATGAATTATTTCATTGTAACTCTTTCAACGTCCCTGTTATTTTATGGTCAAATGTCCATCCTCACTGGATTAGCTTTACTTTGATTAAAATATAACTACTCTATATACTCACATATAAGTTTAGAAAGTTTATCCCAAAAATCAACCCAAAACCCGAGTCAATTTTTCCATGGGATATCTTATTAAATCTTATTAAAGGAACCATCACTTTCCGAGTTGAGTGGAGAAAATTTAAAATTTAATCTTCTCCGTGAGAGCAAGAAAGAACCACTGACTCTCTCTAGTATCTCTGCTGTGGCACTGTTTCTGGTCTTTCTGAATGCCTAGGATAATGAAAGAAGGCGGCAAGAAGGTGGCTGTTGCCCTGAGGCAGCATTGGTACTTTCCCTTCTCCATGGAATTACTCTTGACTTATCCACTGGTCATATCAAAATCCATAATTTTGGCATGAAAACTGGCCCTTTATTTGTACACAGGTCTCTTCTGTTCTATGTACATTACATCATAGGGAAATAGAGTTTATACATCTAGTCATGCCTTACAACTGGCTTTAATTTTATTGGCATTTCTCATGCTCTATATTCCCTTTATTGGCCTAAAAAATCCCCACCTGGTTATACATTTCTTTCATTCGCCTTACATTAGCCACTCCTCTCAAATGCAAACAATTTCTCCCTACAAGCTATACCTGTGTGTCAGGGCTGCATAGTATTACTCACAACTGAATCATTCCCTGGCCTACAAAGACATTTTGTCTGTTCTGTCTTTATAGCAATTTTGATGAGTTTAGACAATGTAAAAAAATAATCTACATGCTTAATTGCCAATGTGTGGGTCAACTACCTGCCAAGACTGAAAAAGTATAAGGCACAGAATTATTAGAACAGTATAGTATGAAAATGTAGAAAAGTAAAATTTAACAATAAGAACTGTAAAAAAATATTTTTCTAGGAGCGGGAAATTAAAGGGATGGGTAGTTAATCACCAAGCACCTTAAATTTTGAATTATTTACTACTGTTGTAACTACCAGAAAGAAATGGGCTTTCTACAGAATTTTTTAAAAAGCCTTAAAAACAAAAAGGTTCAGTCACATAGCCTGTCACAATAACTGCTGTGTTTTGTTTTGCTGATGTAATGCAGACATGCCCAAGTTTAAAATAAAGTTTCATGCAATATGTCCAACATGAGAAACACCCTGGATTAGGCACAAATCTGTGTAAGGTATGATAGAAAAATTGTTCTACAATAGCTGCAGTTCTGTTCTAACACAATCCCATAATCTGTAGTTACATTAGAAAAATCTCATCTTTGCATATCTCCTTTACCCACATAAATACTTTCAACCTTCGTTTCTATTTATTATTTCCACTTTACTGAAAACAATGTAGAGAAAATGTGAACTTGCAAACCATGGTTTCTACTTGTCCCTCAAACCAGGCTTGACAACAAGCTTCAAATCACGGTTTGTAATTCTGTTTTGGCACCGTGTGCCAAAATATTTTCAGTGAAGCAGAATTGGTTTGATATTTCCTAGTAATAAATGTCCCCTTGTTTAATCGGACATGCTGCTATTGTTGTATTTTCCATTTGACTGAAGTCTCAAATCCTAATCTTATAGTTGGGAAAATAGAATCTGTTTGTGTTCTGGATTGAGGATTGAATCACCTACTGTTCTAATATAATGTACAAATGAGTATATACAGCTAACGGCCTTTCAGATTTCCAACAAGTCCATCCCTTGGAGAGGCCTTTCCTCCAGATCATAATATGCTTGGGGAAAAGTATTTTTGTTGATGATATATTGCAATACTAGACTAACTTCCTTCCTAAATACCATAAAAACTATTTCTTATGGTAATTATATATATGTTCAAAATATTTAAAATAAATAATATAGGAAACAATAATTTTGGCAATAGTGATCCCACCAGGAAGGATCTAGTAGACACTACTTGTCTCTGAGACTGTTGAGTGAAACAGCAGTTGTATTTTATAAAAGCTTTAATATCTATATCTGAGCATCAGATAACTCGATCATAGAATCATAGAGTTGGAAGAGACCTCATGGGCCATCCAGTCCAACCCCCTGCCAAAGATACAAGACTAATACAAAAGTTCTGAGCATCATTTTAATTTTAACTAATACAGAGTGTATAGCTAAATCATATAGCAAAACAAGAGAACACTGATAACTAAGTATTTATTCTAAGTTAACCCAATGGACTTTTTTTGCTAATCAGTTAACAAAATACAACTAATAAGAAGCTCTTGGATTTTAAGTATTTCAAAGCTGATTCGTAGTCATCTGTAAATATATCTACATTGTACACATGGTGTTGTGCCTAACCCTGGGGCTCCAATCTACACTCTCAACACAACAAAAAATTAAAAATTCTGAACATATCAGCACAGACAGAAATGAGGCTCTGAAAGTAGGACCACTATTGCAGCATTCTAACACTGTTTCGGACTGAAGCAATGAACACAAAAAAGTGTGTTCGGTGCCGAGGTACACACCTCTTCCTCTGAACTGTCACTCAGGTCATTGTCAAGTGAAGCACTCAAGGAGGCCGCCTTGGGCTCCAGGTAGCAGAGGCACATAGCCAGAGGAAAGGAGAGAGTAAGAGCATATGGCACTGAGAAAGAGGCAGACAGCAAAAAGAAAAAGATGAAAAGGAAACAAGGCACAAGGGAGGGTGAGCGAATGGGAAGGAAATGCTGCACACTTTGTGGCAGAAAGTTGGTTTCAGAGAGGTTGGGAAAGGATAAGTAACCATCATCATCCAGGAGAGTGGGGAATGATTCCGGAAGCTGCAAGGAGAAGGAAAACAATGTCCCACCTTTCCCAGGTTTTTGCTTATAGCTAAACGCTGCATCGTGCTCAACTGAGCAAACTCTTCCTTTTCTATCAGAGTCCAAGTCAGCCTCACCATGCTTTTGAACAGTGTTTTTGGATGCCTCGCAATCTAATGCTTTCCGTGTATTCTCCTTACATCTCCTACGGAGCTTTATTGAGGATGCAAAAGGACCAGATTGTGAGGATGGTGAAGGAGGTAATGAGCCAGTGCCCAGCAAAGATGGCTGATGAAAGAGAAGAAAGAGCAGCAAACAAAGTGCAAGAGCAAAAGGACAAAAAGAAAATTGTAATTAGTTCATTTCCTCTGCATATATATAAAAAAATTACACATGATTAAAAAACTAAATTTATTCATTGGATTAAAATTATATCAGTTCCCATGCTGCATGCGATTACTATTCAAATCAAGGACAGCAGCTCAATAAAGCAAATTTGAAAGTCAACTCATCTGTTAAAATATATTATTAGATATGTTCTGTTTAGAAACATTCAAAAATGCAGATTTTGTAGAAACCCAAATACTTTTTTTGGACAGTCTAAAGATTCACAACCCAAAGGTTTACTATTCAGATGATCTTACAAACCACAGTTTGGAAGACAGGAAGCAGGCAACAAGTCTGCGCTCCTTCCTCCCCTTTTCCATCTGCTGGTTGCTCTAATCACACTTTGCCATGATATCTCAATACAACCATTGTGACTAGTGCAAGGTTTCCAGATTCATTTCAGACTGTATTTCAAAACACAGCATATCCAATTTTCCTCAGTTATGTCATCAATATAAATCATGGTAAGAAGAAACCAGAAAATGGAAAAGGAAGTTGGAGTGAAACTACAATACTCCAAACACCTTTCCCCCCCAAAATGCTGGAAGTTTGGTGAGAGTAAGAATCTGAACAGCCCTCTAAAATGGCTCAGTGAGTACCGAGCATCCACAGTGTCCACAAAATACTGGAGGAAAATTGTAATCAGGGAAATGAAATTGATTGCCCTAGAACAGAGCACAGCTGCTGGTGGGCTGGAACCCTGTACAGAAGTGTACCATGTAATATTAAATTGCTGGAAAGTATCACTAATGAAGACTTTCTATCTGGAGGATAGATAAAGACTATTCATTACTTGCAGAAAGTTATACTATTTTGGGTAAAAACTCCTACAGACTTCAGGTCAGTCTAGCACTGGCTATTGTTGAAGGATTCCAAAAACTGTGGTCTAAACAAATAATTTGATGCTTTACTAATCTCTGGTACTTTACTAATCTTTATGCCACCATGCTCTCATGGAAGGATATGGAAGTGGTCACAGAGGTGACAGGGCTAGCAGGTTAACATTTCAAAATGACTGAATAGAGGTATAAAGAGCTAGAATGCCTGTAAAAGTACATCATGGAGCAGTGCAGCCTTCTTAGCTGCACTTCCCACAGCCATTCAAGCAGCCAGCCAAAACATTCCGTCTCTACATGCCCCACCCATCTCTTCTGCTGCCAGTGCAGAGCCCACTGCATCAGAGGACATCCCCTGAATCTTCAGAGAAAGGTAGGTCAGAAATGCCCACTGGAGGCTACATGTGAGCTATATAGTGACTTCACAAAACGTTTTCTGCCATTCCAAGTGGCCAGCCCCCCTCTTCAAGATATCATAGGTAGCTAGGGAAAAGCATTCTCCAAATGTTCAGAAATACTTTTCCTTCCATGTCTTTCCTATTTAGTGACAACCAAACACTTGAGATGTGGAAGATACAAGAACAACAGAGAAAGACAGAGAGTCTGACCACTTAGATTGCCAAAAAAGAAAAAAGGCAGTGCTTGTAGTTCTAAAAGGTTGGAAAGGAAGGATAAAGTCACGAAAGTGAAGTACAGTGCAACTAAAATGGAGAAAAAGAAGTTAACCACTAAGAGACAAAGGCTAAGGTGTATTTAAAATCCCTCTGTCTCATGAACAGCAAGGGGAAGGAAAAACAGCAACTGCTCTGGCCACTCACTATAGACCTCTAGCTCACTACAATTAATCAAGCATTTTTTTTTCTTATCTCCCCTTCTACACTAGGGGTTTGGAGATCAGAATGGGACAGAATGGACAGTGGAGTGGGAAGTTTAAAAAGTTGTCTGGGGAGAAGCTTGTGGGAAGTATGCACATTTCCGCTAGCTCTTCCTCCTCTTAGCCAGTCTCTCATGACACTAGAGACTAGATTGTCCATGTGCCATGGCTGCTCTTTCACTAGTATGTGCTTTGAGAAAACAAGCCAAGAGGGGAAGGAAGCAGCCATCATTCTGAGGTATGTGGAATGACTCCCACTCAATCTCATGGCCTGTGCTCAGATATTCCATCCTATGCACCCCACTGGCCAATAAGCCAAGAAATCATTCAGAGCATGCTCCACTCCCTCCATCTATACTCTCCTGCTACCACTGTGCTAGTTAAAGGTCCACAAATGAAATACTGTGACCACCATCAGCAGATGGCCAAGAAATCACCCCATCCTATTTATCATTCTCTGTAGGGCCCCTCTTCCCCAATACAACCAGAGTTGCTGGTTTTTATCAGTCACACTGCATTGAAGTTTTATTGTGCTGCTGTTACTTTCTTCCCCACCTAATGAAAGGTACCGCTACTAGATGTGCCAACCATTTCTCAATTTTCCTTCCTATAGCTGGCATTCTCCATAATAGAATAGGAACAGTACCTTCTGTTACTTTGGGATTGACTCAGATGGAAAAGGGCTATGTCATTTGCTATGAAGAAGAAATCCTAGGCTGAGCAAGTACTTAATGACGAAGACAGACCAGCATAGGTATTGGTGGGAATATCTGCATTTGGAAGAACCAGAGAAACTTTCAAGGGTTCCAAAAAGATCTAGACAGCACTTTAATCTGCTGTATGACTTTACAGCAGATCCTAATACCAGAGGAGGTCACTTGTGACCCTTCAGTTGTTGGACTGGAATTCCCAACAGGAGCAGTCTGCTCAGCCAATGGTGACAGGTGATGTGAACTGTTTTCCAGCTACATCTGAAGGCTGTCCATCCTATCTGAATCTAACTTTTGCAACTCTTGTGGGTCTGAGCAATAAAAGTTTAGTGGATCTGGCCGCTCACAGAAGTTTATTCCTTTGAATGTCCAAGTTCAGGTCACCAAAGAACTTCACTAGTGCTAACAAATATTCATTTAAGTTAATTATTACCACTGACTATACATTTGTGTTATTAGACACTGCAGTCCCAAAATGTCTAGAGGAACACAAGTTGCCCACTCTGGTGTGCAGGACTGTAGCTTTAACTTGGCACCAGCTCACTCCTACCTATTTGTTTATTTAATTCATATCACTCCTTATGTCAAACATGAGTCCCAAAGCAACCCAGTAATAGGCTGAATATCTGTGTTTGAATAATCAAACTCCTCTGAATTACTTTTGAAAAATTGAATTGTTATTAAAGAAATGTATTTAATTCATATCCTTCCTTTCTCCCAACATGACACCAAACACAGCCTACTAGTATACACTGAATTGATATGTGCTTGAACTCCACTTGAACCTAAATAAATATACCTTTTTTGCTTATATTTAGATGTTTCTATTGTATATATACATAACTGAAAACAATGTTGACTGTTCATGATGACAATGATGAATACACACAGAAGTAATCGAATAGGCCTTAAGGACACATTTAATGTTCATTCTGGAATGTACATTATTGCTTACATTCTTTTTGGAAAAAATAATTTACAAATAGTCCTGTTATTTTCCAATTTTCTAGATCTTCCTAGATAGGTCTTTCCTCCTTAGTTTACGCATGCTGTTAGATTCTGGTCTTAATCACAATCACTAGAAATTTGAGGTCAGGCACAACTTCCATCATAATAAATTATTTTAGTCCAATTGAAAGTCTTCAATTTTTTAACCTTGTAAGTGAATTATAGGAGCAAAGTTGAGTGCTGTCACTTTTATTTATTCTGATAAACCTAGTTGGCTAGAAGAACAAAGTATTTTCAAAAATCAATTTAGACGTTCTAAAAAGAAAACTCAGAAAAGGTACCATTTGTGTGAACTAGCCAACAAAGCAGTCACAAAAGGAACAATATCATCATAATCTTTGGAGAGCACTATACTAGTACAAGCTGCCAATTCCGGTCGTGTTGAATACAGAAACTAGATGAAACAGATCTGAGATGCAAAGTTTTTGCAAGGACTGCTTGTGGAAGTAATATACGCATGGCCAACAAAACAAAGGATAACACGCCTATCTAGTATTCTAATTACCATAAACACACTAGCTAAGGTGTACATGCCCTATATTTGGTAATAACTTTGTAAAAAGGATTGACATTGACAAATTCCACTAAGCAGCATCCTGCTCTTGATAAGTGAGAGAAATCTGAACATTGCACTGATATGTATATGTACATTATCAGTATTAAAGCTCTTGGGTTAGCTTCTTACTTGTACCTGCTCTCTTATGTGCAGTAAGCTATGAAAGGATTGACTTGCTAAGCGGATTGATTTACTATGCAATTAGTTCACACAACTCCACATGTAATGTGGTAAGGAGATAGAAGGTGGAAAACACAAACATCTTAACTTAAATGTATGATAGTTTAAAGGATGCAAAGAATACTTAGAACCACTAGCAGTCAAAGATCAGGAGAAGAAAGCTAACATTCCATATACACTTCTTTAATATCCAAACTTTACATAAGATCTATTAAAATAAATGTCTAAAATGCAAGTGTGAGTCAACTCTTTAAAACTAATATAAAAACTGAAATTCTCTTCTTCTAAAACAAAATCAAACAAAATGTGCAAATGGTCTCAGTTCTAAACTCCAAAGGTATTTAGATTTCTTTCAAAGAGATCCTCCTACGGTTACAAAGTAGGAGTTAAATTCCCACAGTCACATTGGGATGAAGGAAATAAAACGGAATTGAATTATACACACATTGTATTGTATACTGATTTTTTTTATGTTCCTTTTTTTTTTTACATCTGCCATGACATGTCAAATGGCACTTAGTCGGCAGTATAAAATAAAAATCTCAAAACTATACCTTGGCTGAAACTGGAGTGAGTTCTTCTGCTTTCTTTTTTCTAATTTGCTCCTCATCCTTCTCTTCTTCTGCCTTTTTCTCTGGTGTCACAGTGGTTATCAAGTTGGTTTGAGAGATGCCCTTTGCTGTGGCATATTGGCCAGTACCAACCTCTGCAGCAGACATAGAATCCTTCATGTATATTTCATGGTTTTCATTCACTGATGCTAAAAGCAAATATAATTTAAAGAAGTAAAATCTGAAAGAAATCACTTTGCAAAGCTAAATGAAAATCAAATGTGGATTAACAGTGCAACCCTGTAGATTCCTACTCATAAATAAGTCTGCTATGTAACGCAACTGGACTTACTCATCAGTAAGTTAGTACAGGATTGCAATGTAAACCTATTTGCCAAAAAAAAAAAGAATCATGTCATGTTTCAAAAACATGCGGAAACATGTATTACTGATAAATAATCAGCAAAGGAATCTGGTTAATATACAAATATGTATGCCTTAAACATATCATATTCAGGATTTATATGTATTCACGCACTCATGCAAATGCTCTCAATTTCTGTTGTGTTTGCTGATAGAGTACTTCACATCAAAATAATGAAACAATTTCATTGCTCTACAAAAGAATGCAAGTAATAATATGGCTCTAGCAATTAAAACAGCACATAAGGAGTTTCAAAGTTAGTAATTGCCATTAGTAACTAGATGCAGTGCAAACAAAGCCAAAATGCAAGATACGGTCATTCTAAAAAATTACTAATCCATTGGAAATGGGGGAAGGGGTAACGTTTTAGAAAACTGAATATGTAAAAACAATGTAGAGCTCTAGCAGAAAGGACTCTAATTCATATGCATCTGTGAAATATACAAGATGTAGTGGACAAATGTAAGGGTAATTGTTGTAAGCAGTAATGGCAACAATGTTCCATCATGCATACAACCAGTGTCAAATTGTAAGGCTGCATACATAAAAAGGTATTTATCTATCACACTCTTCCTTTAACTCCATATTTCTTCAGCCTAAAGAAAATGAATCCATTTAGCTATTTCAGAATTGTATTATATACACCAATGCAAACTCTCTTAAGGACACAATTAAAATAATTACACGAATAAAGCAAAATGAATTACTCATCAATTATGCAGGTATCTTTTCTTCCTAGAGGTCAAAAGGACTCCTTCCTGAATAATTTGTTCTAGCATGAAAAATATCTTTTTGTTATCATGTATCTGTGCCCTAAATAGGCACAGGTTTTTCAACATTACACAAATCACGAAAGAGGGCAGGAGAACCAAACCGGGCCATGCCTTGAGCATACTGGTGCTTCCCTAACCTTTTGTCCATGATTTAGTCTTGCCCCTAAATGAGGTAATAAGAGAAACTTTCTCTTAATTGCACCAAGAAGCCATGGTTCTTCTATTCTAGTAGGGCTTTAGCTCTGATCAGGCTGGCCTACAATGTCAGAGGTGTTTGCCAATAAAAGGACTCCGAATGACTGATTCTGAAGTGTGTACTGAAATTAATAAGATTTTTATTTTTTCATTCCAATGGCTCTGCGAACTTCCTTTGGCGCCGTATTTGAAGGAATTGAAACATATTGTTTGCTAGATTTTTCAACTGTGTTTTACTTTGTTTGTACATCACTGGATTTTTATATTGATATTTTAAACATTATATTCCTGTATGCTACACTAATAATTTTAGTGAAGAGTAGCTTAAAAAATCTTTTAAATGACATAACAAAAGAATTGCCTTTGGTTGTACTACACTGCATACTGTTATTTAATTATACGCAAACGCATGCACGCCAGCTGAGAACAGAATGATGGCTTTGAAAGGAATATTAGGAACAACTGTATGCAAGAAGAATTTTGCCTGAAGAGAAACAACAATTTCACTTGACAATGAAAGACCCTTCAGGTGCTTATGGAAGAGTGGTGGAGTGACTTGAGTGTTGCCTTGAACCCTAAAACTGAGGTTGAGATTTTTACTATGTTATTAGTGTCATTGGATAGTCTCATGAACATTACTGTTTCCCAACCTAGCTACTTCCCAAGGTTTTTGTAGGTTAGCCTGACTCCTATTTTAGTTCATTGCTTTAGGCTATTGGTTTATGTTTGGTCCGATAAACTGTAATGAAATCATCACATGCACATGTCTGATTAGGACTATGTGATTTTTGGTTACTATAGTAAGATGACAATTTACTGTCCAGATAAATGTAAGGCTATATTTAAAGTGCAGCAAAGTATGATTCACTAAGAAGTGCTTACAGTATAATCTTCTATGTGCTTACTGAGATGTATGCTCAGCAGACTTTTCAATGACTCTTACTTCCAATTTTGGGGGAAACTGCTGTCTAAGACACTCTGTGTTTATATAAAGCACTATGAAACATGAAGGCTGATATGGACTATCTAGCTAACTGCGATTGAAAAATAAATGCATTCCATGGCCCTTTTATTCCTCACAAAACATTTTGTCAAAAGACTTGCTTTTTGCATATCAATCAAAAGAAAAATAATGCTGAGAACCATTTGTTCTCTGAGACGCATGCACAGCAGTAAGGTCATAAGTTGCTTGGTAACCAGCAGGAAGCATATTAGTACTCAAAGGATCAACATTAATGAGTGATAAGCACCCATGTTATCAATTTCAGCTTGTAGCAATAGGGATTAACACTAATTTATTTGGCTCATATATTTTCCCATTGATTCTCAACAATCCTGAGTACCTGTTTTTTTTCAAAGTTCATGAAATCTTTACAGTTATGTTAAATTTAAAAGTACTGACTTCTGAATTACAACTTTTGAAAAGACAAATTACATGCCTATTATTCGTCTGCAATTGAATAGTACCACTGACAACTGATTAGGCAATTTTATAATTTATAGCATCATGCCAGGTTTATTTAAAAAGCTGTAAATTCCTAATTTCTGTCAGCAATAGAAAATGTTCGGAAAAGTTGAAAACTTTGTTCATCTCATCATACAATATAAACTTGTGTCAGCAAGTGATGCCAGCAGTTGTAAATGCCATGTCCTACAAATATTTCTGAAAGCTTGGTAAAAATATTTATTTGTAGAAAAGAGAAAAAATATTTTTGAGGTTAATTTACTGAATTGTGCAATCAACTGTACCAGGTATAAACCATTTAGTACATCAGAAAGGAAAAATCTAGATAACTTTATGTTGCATGATTTTTTAAAATGTAAAACTTTTTAAAATACTCTATGTGATTTTTCATTACTATAGTAAGATGACAATTTACTATCCAGATAAATGTAAGTCTACATCAGAGGTTAAGATTATCTGGGGAGGCTCTGCTCTCAGTCAAACCTCCTTCGCAGGTGCAATTGGTAGGAACGAGAGACAGGGCCTTCTCAGTATTGACTCCTCGACTATGGAACTTCCTCCCCAACACAATTAGATCAGCGCCCTCCCCCTTGGCCTTCAGAAAAAAAGTAAAAACATGGCTGTGGGACAAAGCCTTTGGGCAGTAAGCAATACAAGGAATGAATAGGGATTAAGTGCAATTGATATTGCAATGGTCTTGGACTATGATTTTTGGATTATGTGATTTTAATGTTTATATTAATATGTTTTAACCTCACATTTTAATATTTAAATGTTATTATGTTTTTTTTTATAATTACTTGATAGTTATATGTTATTGTTGTTTCATGTTAGGTTTTTTGTATGTATGTTAGGCACTGAATTTTCCCATGAATATGTTGGAAACCGCTTTGAATCCCACCCCACCCACCCACCCCCCACAATGTGAAAAGTGGTATATAAATGAAGTAAATAAATAAAAAAAATTGTGTCAAAAAGTAATTTGATGGTGAGATAAATCTATGATATTATCTAAGAAAAGTATAATTTATATAATGAAAAAATAAAGTTACCACATATGTGATTGTCAAGTACCAGTTTGGTACCATCAATTTGACAGTATTAAATGGTTGTGAAAATTGGACAGTGAATAAATCTGACAAGAAGAGAATAAACTCATTTGAAATATGTTGGTGGAGGAGGGTTCATGAAACACAGTACTCTGACAACAATTACTTGGTCCTAGAGCAAATCAGGCCTGAAGTCTCCCTAGAAACCAAAATTTAGTTGAGGCTATCATATTTTGAAGATACCATGAAATGACATGGCCCATCAGAAAAGATTATAAAGCTAGGTAAAGTGGAAAGCAGCAGAAAAATAGGACAGCCATATTCGAGATGGATTGATTCAATCAGAAGGCAGTAGCTCTGAGTTTGAAGACATGTTGCTAGTCTGTTAATAACAGGGTGCCATGAAGGCCTCTTGTGCATAGGGCTGCCATAACTTGAAGCCAGCTTGATGGCAATTAAGAGCTATCAAAATATGTATGATCAAAAGACCCAGGAAACCGCAACTTGTGGAAGAAACCAATAAAATTTGGAATTTCAGTCCAAGGGCCTTTCCACAAAGGCCTATATCCCAGAATATCAAGGCAGAAAATCCTATATTATCTGAATGTGGACTCAGTTTAAAGCAAATATTGTGTGATTTTCTGCCTTGATATTTTGGGATATAGGGCTGTGTGGAAGACAAATTATTTCAAGACCTGTATCTCTGATGGTTCTGCAAAGATTTGTCTGCCCCTTCCCTCAAGAACGCCATAGGCCACTTACTAATTATATAAGTCCATTTTTCTTTTAAGAAATTAACAAATACTAATCCGGTAAAGAAAAAGCATTCTAATGACTATTTTTATATGTGACAAACACCTAACAAGTGCGAAGGCGTCTTTGTCTAGAGAGCATTATGAAAAGTGGATTACAGGCCCAGGCTGAGAAAAAAGGGAGGATTTTTTAAAAAGGAAAAGGAAAAGGAAGGTAAAAATCTCAAAAGCAGAAGGAAAACTAGGGTTTAAAGGAACTGATGGGGTGGGATAGAGGTTTACTCCTTAGTTTTTGTGTACTGCTACACAAAACACGCCAGGAAAAGCAGGAGGCTAATATTTATTTCATGGTCATCTCATAATGAATCAAATGTCATGCATATACTTACAAATGTCATCCAGCAGAAATTCAAGGGACATGAAATTACAAGATGTTTACAAAGTGCTTTCTTTAGAAGGAAAAAAAAGGAATTGTGCTAGAAATCCAAATAAAAGACATGATTAATATCTTACCCCCGTCTAGGCTGCGAGACATAGTGTACCGTTTGCTTGATGAACGCTCAAAGTAAGGTGCAGGGCGGTCAATAAGAGCACTGGCTCGCCTCGTCTGAGCTTGTGTCCTTCCGCTATAGCGAAACTTGGAGCCCAGTGTAAGGAATTTTTTGGGAGGAGCCTCTGGGTGCAGGAGCCTAAAATAACATCATACAGATTAACCATGAAAAATGGTTGGTGTTTAAGTTTAGATGTTACTGTAAAAAATATATATTGTGGCATAAAGCAATCCTACATCAATATATATACATAAATACATCATGAGAGGCAGTGTTGTGTAGTGGTTTCAACTAGGATTCTGGTAGATCCATGTTTAAATACCTACTCAATACTTAAGTGACCTTAGGCAAGCTATACCCTTTTAGCCTCAAGGAAAGCAATGTCAAATCTCCTTTGAATAAATAATAATAATAATAATAATAATAATAATAATAATTATTATTATTATTATTATTATTATTATTATTTACTGTGCTTATATACTGCTGTTCTCAGCCCGGGGGCGACTCACAGCGGTGTACAACATAGAGAGGACAGGGTGCAAATTACAAGACACAATCTAAAATCAATCTAGCAATAACAAAAAAACATCATCATCAACAACATCAACAATATCAATATCAATAATACAAAAAGCCATTTGCGTCGTCTCATCGTTAAACCACAATCCAGTATCATTTTGCGTTGTTCCATTCCTGTCATCATTACCAATTATTGCACAATCTTGCTAAGAAAAACCTAGGTTATGTTCATCTTATACATTGGAATGGACATGAAGATACAAAATAATGGGGCTTACTTTTAGGTAAACGGACGATGATTTGTAGCCTTAGTATGGCATAGTATCATGAAGTAAATTCAATAGTTAACAGCTGGATACTTCAAAGTCATTGTCAAACAACAATTATGCCATTTACAAAATGTCAACAGCCAATCACATTCCATTAGCGACAATCACACACACACACACACACACACACACACACACATTCTGCAATTTAGTGTGATACTGATTTCTTTGATTTTATGTAGTATTCTATGCATTAACAAAGATTCCTCGATCTCTCTAAAGTGCAGACTGAGCATTCCTTATCTGGAATTTCAAAATCTCCAAAATCATATTGCCCACATGATAGCTAAAATACAAGGGTTGAATGAAAAGTAATGCCTCCACCTTCGTTACTTGGGTTTGGATGGGAATATTTTAATAAATCAAATGCAGAAATAATCCTTAGAATGTACTCTTTAACTACCACTATTCACTTTTCCACATAATCACCAGACAATTGGATAAATTTCTGCCAAAGATGAACAAGTTTTCTGAAGCCGTCACAGAAGAAGTTGACACTCTGTTTCCGCAACCAGCACCTCACAGTTTTCTCAATGTCTTCATCTGAAGCATAATGATGTCCCCACAGATCTTCTTTCATTATCATGAACAGATGGAAGTCCGACGGTGATAAATCTGGACTGTATGGAGGATATTGTACGGTGGTGAGATGCAATATTTGAAGTTTCAAGTGTGTGCTTTCATTTCAGGCGTCAGCATGCTGGGTACACATTGTGCACAGATATTCTGATAGCCAAGCAAGCAATAATGTGACTCACATTCTTGTGAAATGCTGATTATGTTTGAAATTTCTCTCTGAGTGATACAACGATCATCCTGAATCAATCTGTCAACCTTATGCTTAGGAAAATCGGTGGTTGCTGTCACAGGATATCTTTGTTTGTCACGCAAGTCAGATGTTCCCACCTCAGCATCTTTAAACTTACTCACCCAATGATGCACAGTACTCACATCAATGCAATCATCATAAAGAGCTTGAATTCTCTGATGAATCTCCTTTGAGGTGATACTTCTGCTGTCAAGAATTCAATGACTGCACGTTGCTTAAGTCTCATTGACCGACCATCTGGACAGGGTTCCATACTTCACACTTTAATAACACAACCATTCAATGCTAAGGCTTCCTGCCAAAATGGAACTATAAAGGAGAATCTACTGAACAAGCCAGTACTTGCCCCATGTCAGTACTGCCATCTGTTGAGGAGTTACGAAGGTTGAGGCATTACTTTTCATTCAACCCTTGTAGTGACAACTTTGCTTTCTGATGCTTCAGTGTACACGCACTTTGTTTCATGCACAAAATTATCAAAAGTGTTGTATACAAAATGGTCTTCAGGTATGTGCACAAGACATCTATGAATCATAAATAATCAAACTCTTAAGGTCCATCCCCAAGATATCTTATTATGCATGCAAATACAGAAATTCCATTAAAAAAACCCTAAAATCCAAAATACTTCTGCGCCCTAGCATTTCAGATGAGGGATTTTCAACTTGTATAAAGAAATCTCTGAAATACAGCATTTGCCAAAAATAAGATCAAACTGCTTTATTTCAGTACGTGGCCAAGAAACATTTTAAAAACATTTTATACAATTTATTCTTTATTGTTAATTTAAAAAAATCTTTTATAAGAAATTTAATACCTGAAAAATGTATGATGCTCAACACATACTTTCCATAGACGCTTTGCAGCACGATGATTGGGTAATTTAAACCCAATTGTGCTTTCAAATTGTTCAAACTAGAAAAGAAAAGAACATTTATTTCTACACAAAGATCCATCAAATTTTTCCATAAATATTTTGACATTTGTAAAAATACATTATATTTAAACAGACAAGAAGGCCCACTGTTAGGATGGCCAGATTATTCTAAATGTATAGCTGACCATGCAATTTTAATTTGATTCTTTGAGAGAGACTAAATTCTTAAAAGAATATTTAATGATTATGTAATTGAATGTAACACTGCAAAATATATATGTATGAAGATGCAGTACATTAGTTGAATTATATAAAAGGACAGGTATTTAAATATAATACTTATTACGCAGTTGCTAACTGCATAAAATATGTAATATTTAGCCTGACGCTTGGAGAGTTATTGTCCACATATCAACAATAACAATTTATTATGGTCCATTGACCTATCAGTGAAGAAACAGTCATTAAAAATTATACCATTTCATTGTCCAAAATTAGTCTACATAGTTTCGAGTAATACCCCTATCCGAGGTTAGTTTTGTTCTCAGCCTTGTTGCCACTGCGAGGAATTTTGGCACTATGAGGGTCACCCTGCGGCACTTGTCTTCTAAAAGATATCTAACAATCCCCTGCAGGTGATGGCTGGTCAAGCGGGACAAAACTGGATATAAAAGTTGTCTATGCTGCACTGTGTAATAACAGCATTTCAATAAAATATGTTTGATTGTTTCTACTTCATTTCCTTCACAGGATGGTAGTCTTTGGGCACATGGAGTTCCAATCTTCCTTTTAGAAGCTCTGAGGGAAATATGTTTAATCTTGCCTTTGTAAAAAGTCTGTGATATTTGATCACTGTAAGACTTTTTAGGTATTCACATGTCTTAAATGGCTCTCTGTATGGCAAGTTGAAGACTTTGGGGGAGCTTGGTGAATTTGAGCAGGCTTTAAGCTCTCCTCGGACAATGTCCCACAACCTTTGCCTCAGGGATTCTTGTGGCATTTTGAATCCCAAATGGAGCAAAGGGATGCAGATACTCCAATTGAGGCTGCTTTCCATTCACTCCTCCATGCCCAAAGGGGTTTGGGGGTTTCATAAGAGAGGTGATGTAGTAAACCTGTTCCCAGTTTGAATATCATTGTTTTTAACCATAAGTTCATTTTCAGAGTCCAGGCCCTGGTACTCAATGGACATTCACCAATTTCTAGGAACAGGACCACATTAGATACACAAGAAGGCACATTTAGATGATCTCTTTTAAACTTTTCTTGCACTCTGTCTATATTTACAGTCAAAATTTCACACTATATGGCTGCATCAAAGATGAGTTTAGAAGCTATTTTGGTGTTAAAGATTTTTAGTTTGGTGTAATAAGACCTTATTATAGCTGCTCAGAAGGCCTTTGTCTTTTGAATCACTGTTTCAGAGTGCACTCTCCGGGATAAGGTGTGATGGAAGGTAAGGCCCAAATACTGGAAGCTTCCAACCTGCTCTAGAGTGAATTTGTCAGTAGACCATTTATATTTTGTAAAATTACTCTAAAGACCAGAACTTTTGATTTACTAGCATGTATAGCTCATTTGTTTTGCAGTATTCTGTAAATGTCCTGAACTGGTATATAAGTCCTGGTCTAGATCTGGTGAAGATGGCTGTTTCATCTGCATACAGTAGGATGGGAACTCTCCTTTTACCCAGCCTGAGTAGGTGGCCTTGCGAGTCCATAATGGCTTTCTCGAGATCATTCAGGAATAAGTTAAACAAAGTAGGGGCTAAGATACAATCCTGCCTTACTCCTCTGGTCATTTGAATTTGCCCTGAAATTTGGCCTTGGGAGCCGCATCTAACCTGTAACCTGCTATCTCTGTAAAGTTCTTTAATGAGAAAGAGTAATATTTTATCCATTAGGTAATTATCTGTACAAATACAAATATTGCCTGCCACCCTTTCTCTCTTGTGGAGAAAAGAAGATAATTTGAGCCAACAGAAGGAACAAGGTAGAAAGCTAGGTTGCGATAAATTTTCGAAGCTCAGCAGATATCTCAGTTGTAAGCATATGCTTTTTGGCGCACTCATTTTCAAAACAAAATGCAACTTTACAGACTTAAGGAACTGTCCATTTTGCAACAACCAATGGGGAAAACACTCAATTTATTGAAGTCCACTTACTTCACCTGGTCGGATCTTGATGTAGAAGTTATTCCTCTTGTATGAAATTTTGAGAACCTTGGGCCAAGCAAACCTGTTTATTCTTAATCTGTCACGATATATCAAAAGGCCACTTGCGCAAACCCCTAACATGATTTCAACACCTTCAGAATCCTAAAAAAAGAGGGGGGAAAGAGGGGGGGGGATAGAAGAAGCAGGATAAAGTTTCCCCTCAAAGATCTTTGTTTTTCAGTTATATATTGATATCATTTAAATAGTGTTTCATTTCCATTTTCAATAGTTACTGTGTTATTATTTTTTAAAAATAATTTTCATGTAGCCACCCCACCATATTCCTTCATTCATGTATTCTCACTTATGTACACAATCATATTGCGAAAATATAACTGTGGCTGCCCTTTGTGGCATACAGTATAAGATAATCCTAAATGAGTATAAGATGAGCTAGAATGAAGACCTGTTCAAAGTGCTATATTCCCCATACACACCTGGTTTATTTATTGGCACACACTCTACAATCAGAAACTATTTTAAGGTTGGCTTACAATATGTATAAATTGAATCACTAAAACATCAATTAGAAAAATAAATGTTCAATAGTATTACGGGGAAAGCATACTTAAAATCATGTGAGCTTCCCTACTGGTGGCCCTATGTCCAACTATATGATCATTGCCTCTAATGCAGTGGTTCTCATCCTTGGATCCCCAGTTGTTTTTGGCCTACAACTCCCAGAAATCCCAGCCAGTTTACCAGTTGCTAGGATTTCTAGGAGTTGAAGGCCAAAAACATCTGGAGACCCCAGGTTGAGAGCCACAGCTCTAATGCTTTTGGGAATGTGAAAGGGACCTTTGACTCATGTGAGAGAAGGTGTTAAGGATCAACCATAGCTCTAGCTTGCATATTAGCCACTGGATTAATAAACCAAGTCCTCTTAATATTTCACAGAAAATGTGCCCTTCCAACTGGAAGCCCTACATCCCAGGCTCTGTCAATCTCCGAGGGTGAATCATTCTAACTGGTTTCATACCTCTGAGGGAGAGATGCTTCAATAAGTTTCAACACCTCCAGGAAGTTATTGGGTTGTGACAAGGGAAGGAGGAGGCTAAAGAAAATTCCTACTATTTGACCACTATTCTGCTGGCTGAAGTGTTCGTGCTAAGTCAGACATTCCTTCTGTTCAGAAATAGTAAAAAGACTAATCTGAGGGGCTAAGTCACACTTCTGTTTGTTTAGGTGCTAGCCTTATAACAAGGGAAAGCATGGAAAGATGCCTATTGAATACAGAGCTATGCTAGATCAAAGCCCTACAAACCCTTTCAGGACTCAACCAATGCTAGTACCAAATGTCACAACCACAGACTCTCCAAAATGCTTTTACCCTGTCTTAGAGACCTAGATGATCTTGTATGATCTGAGAACATCCAAGAAATCTATTCATGTTAATGTTTAAGAGGAAGACAACGCTTGCAAACATCACACCAAAATGAAAATGAAAATTCTATCTTTCAAGACTTTGCACATAGTCAGGTTAACACAGCCTGTATCCACTCTTCAGAATTAAAGCAGTTTGACACCACTGAGCTATGGAAATCTGGGATTTGCACTGCTGTGAGATATTTACGTTTTGAAAAATGTATCTTAAATTCAGAGGCAACTAGACCTGCTTTTATGCAGGGTCTAGCCAAAGATGGAGCCGGAGTGGGCCCTGCCTCCTGACTGGCTGGCTGGCTGGCTGGCCAGGAGCATGCCAAACCAAATGGCATGCAGGGCTCCTGGGAAGAGGGAGCTCTCAAGAAGATAGAAGGAAGAGGGGAGCGCCATCCCCTGCAAAGCCCCTGCCTGGGCAGGGGATTTTTCATCTCAATCATTTTTCTTTTTAGTTGCATCTATTAAATTGTAGGATGTGAGGCAAAAACTGCCATCTAAATATTTTGTAGAGTGGACTGGAAAATGTTTGGCACATTATTAACAATTTTTAATACAGCAAGTTATGGTATATATCCTAATATTTCCATGTAGCCCACATCCTTTGCTTTTGCTTTCTTCTATAGTTTTGATAAAAGTCTTCAAATACTTTGATATTGTTATGCCTTTTCTATTTTAGATTGAAAAACAAAAGACACATGCCTTCTGGTAGAATGCTGTCTTTGAAAAAAAACAAACCCAAAGTGACTGGGAAGAGCAATTAGGGGAACACAAAAGATAATATTGCATTCTACTCATAAATCAGTCACAGTTCTCTGTAGAAAACTTCAAAATTGCTTAAGTTTTAAAAATCAGATTTCATGCAGAATATTAGATTACCATGTTGTTATTTTTATCTCTCTTGCTCATGAGTATTTTGCCAATTTCATGTGTAGGATGTGTTGTCGGAGGTTTCATGTTTCTGGAACATGGCCATACAGCCTGGAAAACTCACAGCAACCCAGCTGTATGATGGTTTTATTGGATTTCAGCATTCTAAATTCAAAAATGGCATCAGATTGGCTCCATTATGCAACCTATCATGGGGCTTTATTGGCAAGATTTGTTCAGAGGGGGGTTACCTTTGCTGTCCTCTAAGGCTGAGGACGTAATTGGCCCAAGGTCATGCAATGCTCAAACCACTATATCATGCTACTTCCCAAAATCTAAAGATAGGCAAATTGAATTGTACTATAGTGTCCTTTCTTATACTGGCACTCTACCACTTAACTGTATATTAAGAACCTGTGAAATTTGAAAAACAGCACTATTTGTTATAGTGAACTTTGGACTGACATAAAATTTGTCAGTCATTCAGATGTGCAAGATTTTTGGGATAGTATCCACACTGCTTTACTACTGGTGGAGGAGCAAAATCTGGTGCAAATGGAAAGAGGTAATCTTCGATGCTCACAAGGCAGCTCTGGAAAGAGGAGGAAAATTGCTGAATTTAAGCAACTTTTGGATTCGCTGCACAGACTATCCATATACTCCTTGCAATGTGGTGGAGGATCCTTCTTTGGAAGCTTTTAAACAGAGGTTGGATGGCCATCTGTCAGGGGTGATTTGAATGCAATATTCCTGCTTCTTGGCAGGGGGTTGGACTGGATGGCCCATGAGGTCTCTTCCAACTTTTTGATTCTATGATTCTATGATTCTATACATCCCCCATCACCCTGTTATAATCATATGTATTTTCTTCATCAAACATCTGGTTGTTTTTGAGATAGGCTCCAACAGGTATTTGGTCGTGTATAGTGCCAATCTGCACTCCATCTCTCTTCTTCCCACTCTGTAGCTATTCTGCACAGGGGTTTGACTGGCACAGCACTCTGAAAGTCTGCTCCAATATGAGTGACAGAAATAAATGTGAGAGCTGTAAAAAGCCCATTTAGGTGGTTGCCAATTTTTTTAAAAAAAATTACACCAAGTCTAACATGCTAAATGAAGTACAGAGCTCTGTATGTCATACTTTAGATTTAGTCCTCCACAGTTAAAAGGATTGCTGTAATAATCAGCTATATATGCAGCAAGAATACTAAAATGGGTATGAGATACAATACCATTAATGCACTGATACATTTCTATACCCATAAACAGAGCAACATATTTGCCCAAGTGGTTTATGAAGGAGAATTGTTCAAGCCTGTGAATTGAATCAGAGCTTTGTCTGTCATTACCTTGGCATGGTGAAGGTCTACTCCATACATGGACAATTTTTTGGCATTTTCCAAAAAATGCATCTCAGCCTCTGCTGGTGTCATTCCCCTAAAGAAAGTCAGTGGGATATTTTTTTTAAAACACATGCCAAATATATTGTTTCCTTGAACATAACATTCTTCATGTGATTTTAAATGAGAGATAACAACATTTTATACAATGTATGGTTTAAGCTAAATAGTCACCACCATTATTTCATTTTAAAAACAGAAAATTCAATATATTTTTCTTGAACAAAATTCTGAAGTGCCATGTTACATCTGTTCATTTACTCCTATTTTCCTCACCTGTGACTTTTATGAAGCTCTATTACTTTATCTTCCAGTTCTTTTGTGTGATTTGGTGCAAAGCGAAATTCACTGACATAATCACTTCCATACTCATCAGGATCATAATCACCAAGCTCTGACTGAACTGTGTAGGAACCCAGAAGTGCGAGTGTAACAAAAGAACATGGCAGTCGTCCAGAAACAATGTCATCTCTCAGCTGTAGACAGAGGTAATACCTGTGCCAGAATAAACAACCAAAAATTATCAACATCTCCATAAATACACACAAGGAATGTACAAATTATAGCAATTCAAAAGCAATTGAGGTCCATATGGACCTCAGTGTCCTTTGCTTGATGCTTTGATTAAACAAAAAATAGCAGATTTATGAAATAAATGAATTCTTTCCTTCTTAAGAGTGAGAAGTTAATGCATAACTGGAATTTGAATATTAGTCCCCAAGCTATAAAAAGCTATATACCACCCTCAAACTTTCCACTTGATTTTTTTGTCACATCTGTTCTTCATTAAAATTTGAACCTGTTTTTCTTCTACTGCTTATGGTTCAGTTTGAACAAAGTATAATTTTCTCTCTTGTGCTGTTTCCCTGTTAAATCTATCAATGCATCACTCTCTTAGGTCACTATGTAATGGATCCATAATTCCATTGATTCATTCATCACAATTAGGGATTACTGAAGTCTCTGCAGCTTGGTTTTAGGAGATTTCCTAAATGGGGAACTAGGTTTTTCTGAATTTTATCATCAACAATTTTAATTGAACAACTGAGAAACAGCTCAAAATCTTCTTAAAATAATCCAAGAGAATTCAGAAAGATCTATTCAACAAAATTCCCCATTGGTACTCAACTGTGGCCATTTCCCACCCCTTCCCAAGAACATATTATGCTGGAAGAAAAGGGTAGGAATAAGTTGGGCTCCCTGAAATCACAGATGCTAACACTGAGGTGTACAGTTCCAATAAAACTGATGGTCATCAACTGGCCTTGTATATTTGAGCAAGGAAAGAATTCCAAAGTGATAATGGATCCTCTAAAACTGAGATTTCTGCTGCTATACCATCTCTTTCTGCCCCATCTGGAACAAGTGTAGGATGACGAGATGCTGAGGCACGTCATTACAGCTGCTGTAGCCTGGCAAGCATCAGAGGATTTTTCTGAATGTTCAGAGGATGAGTGTGATGATGGGTTTCAGTGAGGTGTCTGTGAGTGTTCGGAAGGAATTGCAGGCAGATGAGGCTGATGTTTTGGATTTTTCTGTTCGTTCCCAGGCAACAGGGAAAGTACCAATTCCTTTGAGAAAAGGCCTTGGGAAGATGAGGAGTTTTCAAGGGAGAATAGATTAAATCTGAGAAGGCAGGGTGTGAAAAGATGGTAAACCAGATTTTCTGAGAAAGTTAGTGATAAGACCCAGAGATCGAGATGCGTGAGGCATGATATCATGGGTGGCTTGGAGAGCTTAAATTAAGTGATTTGCTTTCAGGTCTTTCAGATGAGACAATGTTGCTAAAGGAGACCAGTCTCCTGTTTATGATTCTAAGTTCATGGTTCCTGTATTGTCATGATTCCAGGTTCATGATTACTGTATTGTTTATACCTATGTGTCTTTGGAGAATTTATCTTGGAGAAGTTCCTGTTTTCATGTTCATGGATATACCTTTGGATTAATTATTTTAGATTCCTTGGTTTTGTGTTTTAACCTGGCATTTTTGGATTACTGTTACTGTTTTCTGGCTTCTTTTCTGCATTGTATTTCATATTTCTATTGACTCCTTTGGATTTGCCTTTCCCCCTTTTTATATACTTTTAGAAATAAACATTCTTTTATTGGATTACTGGACTCTGGTGTGTGTTGAGTGAAAAGGTGTCCCAGTGCTAGAGTGCAACAAGAGCTAAACTTCAATTTGTGTTTAAGAGAGGAAAGGGGAGAGGGTCAACACCTCTGATCTTTTTCTTTCATTGAACTAATGATAATATGGCAGTAGTGATCATCTGACAGTGTAGGGCAAACTGTTAGCTCATTACAATCAACATGCTTTAAGGAAGAAATGAAGATAACTGCTTGAATACCTGGTAATATCTTCAGAAAGTTGGGCAGGATCAGGAGGGTAGAATTTCACATTAAATGAGAAATGCCAAGCACCACCTATAAGAGAAACCAAGGTTTACTGAGATAACCTGCAAATTGTGCATTACTTTCACAAAAATAGTGATTTAATTGTGTTCAGTGTTCAGCCAGATTGATGATTAAGCTTTGCTTTTGCTGGTCTTTTACCATGGCCTTCAGTGACATTCCTCTTTTGAGGCAGAGATTTGTCCCTTAGCAACGAACCATTAATGTGAAATGTCCATAAAACTCTGTAGACACAGAACTGTTTTTTATTAATATATTGTTTACTTCATTAAAAAATGGAAATAAGAATGTTTGGTAGGGTCTGTGCCCATACTTGACCAAGGCATACACAACTATATCCAAAGCCTCACCATCAGCACTATTAGAAATACCAGCCAAGCATAAATTCATATGCCTAGTTCCATCCTCTTAAAAAAGAAATAAACAATGAAAAATATTTTGTTCCAGAAAGCTTTGACAGGTTAATGCATCAGAAAGAAGCATTTACAGTGCTCCTTCACCGCTTCGCGGTGCGCTTTATGTCCCCGCCCCCCCCAGACATGGAGGGGGAGAGGAGGAAGGAGGAGGAAGAGGAGGAACCGCCTGTGCTCCTGCTAGCTTTGGAGGCCTCAGCCTGGCAGCACCATCAACGGCGCCCAAGGGGCCTCTGAAGCCAGCAGCAGAACAGGCAGCGAGGAGGAGGAAGCTCCGCCAGCTTGGCAGCGCCATCAGCTGCGCCCAAGGGACCTCCGAAGCCGGCAGAAGCACAGGCGGCGAGGAGGAGGAGGCTGCCGCTGAATGGGCGGAGCGTCCCTATTTCATGGATTTTCACTTATCATGAGGGCTCCTGTAGTTGTTTGGGTTTTTTTTTTGAAGTACTGTTATGAAACTTTCTTTACTTTCTTATTTGTTTGCTCTCTTCTAAGCTTCCTGTGCTTCTACAGATAGGTTACACATACTAAAAATTAATAACAAAGCTCATGAAGAAGCAGTATGTGTTCTGCCTACCAAATGCAAAGTGAAGTAGATCATTTAATTTCATTTTGAGTACTTTTTTCATTTTGCGCCATTCTATTTTCAGCTATCTAAACTGATGAATATACATGTTGAATGAAGGTGTGTCAAGCTGTATTACTAATGCTTTGGTGTGCTTGATGGAAGAGGAGTCAGGTTAACACTGACAGTACATTGTACATTCAAGCTGTGTACAAATTTCCTATATATTCTGTCTTTCAGGCTCTGGAATACTGTATTAAACTTCTGCCACATAAAATACATTTCACTGAACTTCTTCATCCATCTCCACACATAGCTTCCCTTGAACAAACCTTAGTTTGTCCAGGATAGACAGAATACCAAACTGCAACTGTTCAGAGATCTTAATGTTTAACCTCAGTGCAGAAATCCCCAAATCGTTCATTATGTTTCAGTAAAAAAAAAAGTCTGCTGTGTGTATGTAAGCACATAGTTCTGTACAAGATCAAATCTTCTTGTCCCTATACCATATGTATGTATTTTTCACACAGAGTGAAAATGGGGGATAGAACTAGAGTAAATCATATATGTACTTTTGTTAAATAATACTGGTTAGCATTGTGTGGCACAGTGCCTTGAATGGTGGACTTGTAATATGGTAGACTAGGATTCAAAACCTCAATCAGGCATGAAAACTCTCTCGGTGTTCTCAGGTAAGTCACAATCTCTCAGCCTCAGAGGAAGGCAAGAACAAACCACCTCAGGGGGAAAAATGTCAAGAAAACTCTGTAAAAAGATCTCCATAAGTCAGAATCATCTTGAATGCACATAACAAAAACAAATGTATGGTGTATGATTTATTTGACTGCCAGAACAACTGGGCATCATTAAGGTAAGAGTGACTCAAAGGAGTTGCTGTATGTTAATGGGCATTTGTATGATTTATATTATTGAATTACTGAGGAAGAAAAAAAATACTGTTATCTGACAATAGGTTCTCTGAAACAGATTTGCTTTTCCACACATTACAACTACATCTCTTCCTATGTCAAATACAGTACTGTCATTTTTTCCCTTCTGCACAATCCCCTAGTGTCACAGCAGATGAATTGCTTACAAATTCTAAGTCATACTACTGGTTTTTGTTAATTGCTGTCATGTTGGCTTTGATGAATGGCAACCCTTGGTCCTCCAAATAATGAATTCCACACATTTTCTTGATTACACAGATATTGATTTTTCAGATGTAGAATAGTGAAGTCACAGTATCAATTACATAAAACTAGACCAATTGACACAGTATGCCAAGACATTCCTAGTACGTTTTATCCAAAGTAGATATACTGAAACCAATTGGGACTGAATAAACCATGATTAACATACCTAATTACTGGTAATTCATTGAGTAAGTCTACTTTCAGGTCTGTGTGGGGAGCATGTGGTCTTCCAGATGGTGACCAGGCCTGTTGGTCCTCCCACTGAAATTATATCGGTGGGCACCTGATGGCCATCATGATAAAGACTTTAGCTAGCAGCCCATGGCTTCCATCCAACATCACAATTCATTTTAATTGTGGTTTCTGGAGATGAGACTTAAAATCAGGCAGCAATGGATGAGGGGAAAGGGAGTAACCGGAAAGTCCCTGGGAGCCCAAATGACGCTGCTTTGAAGAATACACATGATAAATTTCATATTACATGAACAGTAAAAAGTGGACTTCTTCATTCACATAATGATTTCCAACCCTCCCTTCCAAGTCTGCTCTGAAGAGCTGCTTTCAGATACAGATTTGTGGGTGAGTGCGACAGGATTCAACTGCCAGAGGTTAGCAGAGTAAGGGAGTCTATTCTACTAATGTATTAACTATTGACAGACAACAGAGTCTGGACCAAACCTGGTTAGTAGCTCTTTCTTCACAGTACAACTTTCTGACATTTTAGATAAAAATGCAGAATTTAGATTAAATATTTTTCATTAAGTAAGTGTGCTGCCTTTCTTTCGTTATAAATGAACACTTGTGAATTGGAATTTATATTTTAAGTCCAGATGGGAGATGCCTGCCATAAAAGGTAATTGTTTCCATACACTTTTTATTTTAAAAGTGTTAGAAAAACTACCACCATCTGTTTGCTCTTATATATTCTACAAATAAGCATTACATCAAGCCTGGAGAGAGAAAAAAACTTTTGGTTGACTTCATATTTTTGTATTCAGGGTATTTGTGACGAAAGTGCTTTCAAGAGGCAAACTTACTTCGAATCTGCTTTTTTATTTCCTTGGATGGGTCCAACCAATTCTGAAAAGAAGCATTTAAAATACTGGAATAAGAATATAAGCATTTCAGCTCAAACACATTAAATTATAAGTGAAACAAGTATAATAGAGTGATCAAACTGAAGCTAAATACATATAAGTCACATGAATATAATTGAAAAGGAGGAAAACATATATGTCAACATTCCATTTGAGAACAAGGGGAATCAAAGTAACTAACACTATCAAATTCACAACTTTTGTGCTTTTATTTTAGAATCTAAGTGCCCAGTGATAGCCTATATCCTAGGAAAAGTATATGCTCAGAGCTGGGAAGTTTTCAGTACAAAGTTATCTTGAGGATACACCTACACTGTAGAATTAATGCAGTCTGTACCACTTTAACGGCCATGGCTCAATACTCTTGAATCCTGGGGTGTGCAGTTTGATGAAGCATCAACACTCTTTGGCAGAGAAGGCTGAAAAACTTGTAAAATCACAATTCCCACTATTCTACAGCTTTGGCACCAATAGTAATGTCAAACTGCAATAATTCTAGAATATAGAGGCACTCTCTGACTCCAGGCAATCCCAAGCCTTTCCACCTTCTGCTTCCCATCTATGAGAAAAAGTACTCACAATTCTAATGTATGCACCCCATTTTTTAGACATTTATATGGCGAAAAGATGCATCTTAGTATTGAAAAAATGTGATGCAATCTATTGAGATGCAGAACACTGTCAGAAATGTCAAGTGTCCTATCTATACTGTCCATTTAATGTAGTTTGAAGCTATTTTCAAAGTGCAGTAGCAAGATAATTGTAACAATGCCACCACTTTGTAACGACGACACCAGAATAGTACGGTTGTCACTGATTTATCAAGGTCTCCTACTAGTTGTAATGGATTTACAAAATTGATAACACAGCTAATAGCTTGTAATACTTCGTTGGTCTTTCTTCAATGTGTAGCACGGCTTGACTTGAAAATATTCATAACAGAGACTTGGCTTTAAGAGAAACTGTAACAAGTTTATTGAAGTATAGAAGAAGCTTAATGGTTTCAATGTTTCTCAACTCTTAGAGGCACATTTCTTTAGAGGTTACATTTATAACATTTCATAAAACAACTCTTAAGAAGACTGTTCCTTCCACTAGACAGGTTTTAAACTTATTTTTCTTCAAACTGTGTTTCTTTCCTTAACAGATCACTTCAGGTACCAGCTTCCTTAAGTTATTTCTGTTGCAGTAAAGATGTTTACTGGGTTTCTCTCCCCCCCTCCACCTTTTGACTCATACACTAACTACTAATCTAAATAAGTCAACTTGACCTATCTAAACCTCACAGGCTAAAAGCCTAAACCTTTCTGGTTCTCAGCACAGTAGAACCAGCCTTCCCTGAAGTTCTCCGACTACAGACTGACCATTTTAAAATGCCTGCCCTGCCAAGTGGCAGTTGGCTCCGCCTCTTTTTCCATGGCAACCCAGCTCAGAGTGAGCTGAGCTGGCTACCATCCCCCCAGTTATGCTATTTTAAATACTTACCCTTTTTAAACATCTATCTATAATTATACATAACTGTAGGTTAAAATTCACATTTCACCACAATAATAAAGTAACGCTAAAGCATGCAAAAGAAAGCCCTTAATGTGCATCAGTGCTCTGCAGTTTGTATAATCACCCAGTCCGGGCCTCAAACTAGTACCAAGATTTCCTATGCAATAATCTGCACAGCAATACCACTTTATTCAATGGCAGTTTGAAAATGACTTAGATGTTTCCATAATCCGCTTTTTTCATCTTTCAAAACTTTTCCATGATTTCTGATGTGGCGAAAGCAAGAGTATTCCATTCTAGAAGGCAAAACTGCTCTCACTTTATGCACATATTGGCATGTGAACTAACGAGTTACTATGCATTTTTGAAGGCTTTCATGGCCGGAATCACTGAGGTTTTTCAGACAGTCTCTCCTGACGTTTCGCCTGCATCTATGGCAGGCATCCTCAGAGGTTGTGAGAGTAACAAGTTACTGCTGAGAACTGGTTGAACATGATTTTACTCAGAATTCTGAAATGCTCCAAATTCCAAAATTATCCACACAGGTGTCTGAGATAATGAAACCTTTGCCCCCTCATAGTTCAATGTACACAAGCTTTAAGTATTTAAAATACTGCATACAAAATAATCATCATGTTATGTAAATAAGGTGTGTATGAAATATTTCACATTTAGACTTGGGTCCCAATTGCATGATACCTCATTATATGTGCACATCTCAATGCAAGTATTCCATAATATATGTGTGTGAGGGGAGGCGGGGGGGGGGGGGAGGTCCCAAACTTCAAAATAGTTATAGTCCCAATAATTTTGGATTAGGGAATATCGGTTTGCAGCATCATTAGCAAATCTAAGAACATGTTCAATTCTTAAACTTTGGGTGTGTTTGTGTGGACTACAGTGTGGATGCTGTTGCTGGCAAGAGTTTGCTCCTGCCTGCAACTTGTTTGCCCTGATTATTTGGTTCTTTTGTACCTCTTCACTATTTACAATACTCTATCGAACAAATTTAAAGTACAGAGTTCTCCTTCACAGAAGTACAAGTTATTTTAAAATTAAATTCCTATATATTGGCTGCTTTTTTATTGAAATCTGCTTATGTATTCTAAGCTCATTATTTTACACTTCTTCACCAAGGTTAATGCATATCCATGGATTTCTATTGGCCCACTTAAAGGTAATAAAATATTTTGGAAGTAAAAAAAAATCAGCTTGTGCATGTAGTGAATCAACTTGTGTGCCACAGCATTAACATTTCATTGTATAAAGAAAAGAGCTATATGTAGGATTTTAATTTATTTTCAAATCCATGCCAACTGGAATAAATCAGAAATAACAGGAATACATCAGGCAATATAGAAATGAGTTGGTGAAGCAATAACCTGCTTTACAGTGGAAAATTTTCAACATGAGTTATAATCACACCTGAAGGAGCATTTTGAATGCTAGCACATAACCAGTTTTAGAGCCTGCACTTCATAAGGAAAATTGTGATCTCATTTATTTAAATAGCTATCCTTGGATTTTAAATAGTTTTTCATCATCACTATTGCATCTTAATTTTCTAAATTATTAGTTAATTTTACCTTTTGGTTTTCCATGTCTCGGTATGTTAGACCAAAGTAATCTTTTTCTAAGAGGTTTAAGTGTTCGCACACTTTGTCAAACAGCACCTGGCCCTTGGAGCGTTTCTACAGGAAAGAAAGAGAGAGAAGGAAAAACTGTAAATTTGAAAACATACAATTTTCCCCAAAACAAGACAATTCTACAGTATTGGATAATTCTGTGAAGATTGACTTAATCCTTTATCAGTGTGTATAAGCTTCTGTTTTCTCAATACTAAAACAGCTTAACAGAGTGAGGAGTGGATAAGAGTAGGTCTCACCATGGTCAGGAAATCTTAAAAGTGGATGTGTGAGAGAGGAAAAGTGACTAATTTACTTAACTGAATGAATTTGTCCACATTTTTCTAGTAGAGGATGAAACCTCAACTATAGCTGGAAATCGGATCTTACACATTTTGGCCACAAATGTAAGTTGGTGTGAGAGGAAACATATTGACCCAGAGATAGTGGGATGCAACAAGTCACTGCCAAATTTATCTAGGCTATTCAATTGTTGCTGCATGTTTACTCAAATCCCACTGAGTAATAACTGTTTCTTCCCAAATAACTGCGCACTGGATTGTAAAGTGTACAGGTTTAAAATCGAACACAGCCAGATCACACAAACATTTCAGACTTAATTTCCCATTAAAGCATGTCCCTGGATTCTACACATTGCTCTTTAAAAATTTCATTCGTGCATTTCCATAAACAGAATGTTTACCATAGCTCAGAGCATTTAAGGTGGGAAACAGAGGAAAAGCTAAGATGAGATTTCTTTTTAACAATTTCTTAAAAGGTTTTCATTTGATTTAGATTACATTAGGGCCCTGGTGACACAGCAGGTTAAACCACAGAGCTGCTGAACCAGGGAGTGGGGTGAGCTCCCACTGTTAGCCCCAGCTTCTGCCAACCTAGTAGTTCGAAAATATGCAAAATATGCAAATGTGAGTAGATCAATAGGTACCACTTCTGCAGGAAGGTAATGGTGCATCATGCAGTCATACTGGTCACATGACCTTGGAAGTGTCTACGGACGGCGTCAGTTCTTTGGCTTAGAAATGGAGATGAGCACCACCCAGAGTCGGACACGACTAGACTTAATGTCAGGGGAAACTTTTACCTTTACTAGGCACAACATAGGTTCCAACATAACTAAAAAACAACAATCAAAATTATCAAAAGGAGCCCAAAGTGGTGCAATGGGTTAAACCCTTGTGCTGGCAGGACTGAAGACCGATGGGTTAGGGGTTTGAATTCGGGGAAAGCGCGGATAAGCTCCCTCTGTCAGCTCCAGCTTCCATGCAGGGACATGAGGAAAGCCTCCCACAAGGATGGTAAAATATCAAAACATCTGGTCGTCCCCTGGGCAACGTCCTTGAAGATGGCTAATTCTCTCACACCACAAGCGACTTGCAGTTCCTCAAGTCGCTCCTGATATGAAAAAAAAATCAAAATTAAAACCTTAATTCAGTTTTAAAAACTTAACACTAGTAGTTGTGATGGTGGTAGTAAGCCTCACCCATCTGAAACCTCAGTTCATATCTGTCTGTTAGCTGACTGTTGTTTTATCTCTATCCTGATAATGCATTATTTCTGTTGCTAGCTGTCCCTAAAATCAGAAGGAACTGGAATGGGAGGTAGCAATCCCCCCCCCCCCAATCCAGTGCATGATTAAATGCAGTGACAGCATGGGGAGAGGGGAGGGATGGTTTTCTTCACTCAGCCTAAGAGGCAAGCTTTTCTCTTCCTCTCCATAAAAGTAACACAAACAGATAAATGCAACATCTTAAAGTCATCTTGATAAACCAGGGCTGTGACACAAACTAAATAATTATTGTCTTCAAAAGAAGGATTCATGGGTTAGCACCCTCCTTGTCTAGCTTGCCATGTGGCATCTTTCCTCCTTTTTGCAGCAAGAAAGTGAAGAAGGTATTCAGCTGCCAGCGAGCACCATTGTTTGTTTGATTTCCTAATGTGGGGGAGGCTTTATTGTTGGTGTGTGCCTGTGTGTTATGCATTTGCTTTTAAATGAGAAGAAGCTTTTCAGAAAAGAAAAGAACTGAATTCAGACAATTTTACCTACCCCCACATTAGAAAATGAATTAATTTACAAAGAGAAGCACACAGTTGAGTTGAATCAAGTGTGATAAGAAACTGCTCTTCTCCCCAGGGAACCTTCTCCTGCTCCTATTTCTTCTTTGCTTTTTTTTGGACATCAATCTCAATGGAACTGGCCTCTGAGTAGCATGAATAGGATGCACAGAAAATCACCAATCTCAATCCAGTGTAATGGCAATTAATTATTTAGTATTCTTTAATAAGGGTTTCTTGTGGTGACAGGAAGGGCCTTCAAAGCATGAAGGGCTTTCAAAGGATTGACTACAGCATGAGTTAAATGTCCACCTCTACACACACATATGTTCCTCTACCTCATCTCTGCCTTCCCTTTCTTTCCTATAGCCATTCAAGTTGTGCCTGGAATTCATTTCTCCCATTTCTTTAGTTTCTTTTGGTACTTTGTGAGCACATAACGGGAACCCCCTCCTGGTACAAAAATCAGCTTGCCACAAAAGCAAGCAGGAGCCAAGACTGGCTCCTCACCTGCTTTTCATGAACAGAGCAGCCTCCTTGCCTTGGAAAGTGTGAGTGCCTGCAGCGGAGCGCTTCCTCTAGAGTAGAAAGAAACAGAAGATAAGAAGCCCCCTTAAAGCACATGGGAAGAGGTGCCTGGGAAGCTCCCCCATCCCTGTAATGGGCCGATAGAAAACAAATCTTTCGGCACCCCAGAATGAAAACAGATATCTGCCCTTCCAATTTCTGGAGGCTCCGAAACACTGATTGGGGCCCCCACCAAAAGCTGGGACATAAAATGGGTCAAGGTTTACCCCCAATGCCCAATCCTAATAGCCACCACCATCATCAAGTACAACAGGGTCCAAATATCTGAGTATTATCAGAGATATCTCTGCTTCTATTAAAAGCCAGATTTACTCAGAAACAAGGCTTTCCAAATTCAATGGAATTTACTCTCTAGATTATATCTTGTGGGCTATCCACTGTGAAAGTAGAACATTTCTTCACTATTTTGTTATAGCAAACAGAAGCCCAACTTTAATTGCTACAAGGAGATACCCAAACAAATAACAAAAGTACAAAATAGGAATAAGGATACATATTCAATGCAGTAAAAATAATGAGTATCGCTGAATATTATCATTCTCAATTGAAATTGCATTGCAACAAAATTATGGTAAGCAAATTCATGCTATTCTGCTACCTCCCCCAAAGGCCAGATATTTAGTCTCCAATTCTTTAGTTTCTTCAGGAAAAAAGTCATCAAAAAACCATTTAGGAAGATGGAAATGGGAAATGTGTTATGTTATATAATCATCTATCAATAATTTCCCCTAAATTCTTCCAAATTTTTTAGCAGAAGGACAATCTATTTTATATCTCCCCATTCAGAAGCCTGAAAAAACACAAATGCAAGTATTTAATGGCTTTTTTATTCTTTTTATTGTGTTTATTTGTACATGGCTCCCAGAAAGCTTTATGAAAAAGTTTCGGTGCTGTTAACCTGGTTGGGAGAAAAGACCTTTCCCCTTCCTCTGGTTCAAGGCCTGTTTCAGAGGGCTGGAAGACCTGTCAGAGAATCCTATGGGTGGATGGATATTTAAGGAGAAGTCTCTGCCATCCTTTTGGAATTCACTGGCATAGGATTGGATTTAAATCAATAACAGGAGAGTTGTCCAAAAATATTATGTCTTTAAAGAAATATAGCATAACAATACTTTCTTTTGGTGTTAGTCAAGAGAAATAGACATGTGAACACAGAGCATATGGGAAGACTGGAATCAACAAAGTTGGTGGACTCTGAATTAAGGTACAGTGGTACAATCTGCATCTGTATAATACTTTGTCATTTAAAAGTCAAGCAAGGTCAAGCTCAAAGACGTTTTAACTGGCAGGTTCCTGAGCTTGCACAGCTGTCTAGTCTGATAAACATCAATGAACAGCTGTAGGTTAAGGTGTTTCACTGGAGGACTGCAGGAGGAACACAGATCTATTTTAAGAAATAAACACTCATTAATAATTAATGTACAACGAGTAACTGAAAAACTGAAATTCAAATTATCATCAAGAACCCAGTGTTTTAGAAACAGCAGAAGGGAATACACTAAAATGGTAGACTAAATTTGCACTTGCAAACTGGCTTCATGTGACTTTGGAAAAAATGTACGAAGAGATATCTGCTCAGTCGCCCATCTTAACTAGCATAGTAGAAAACAGTGAAAGAAGTGTCTAAAAACCAATAGGATTGCATTTAGTTAGAGGGTACCGATTATTTCCATAGTTTATTTTTGCTACCCAAATTCTTTAAACTGATGGTGGGTAATTTGCAGGGCAGGATTTTTGTTTCCATGTTCCCAAGAAACTTGAATAGGGGTATTTTTTGCTGAATTGGAAATATGGTATCATTTCCAGTTTCAGTTATTTCCGGAGTACTGATATTTTTCCCCCCTTAGACCTTGGCTGTTGTGGGAGACTTTTCAATGAAAAAACAAACAAACTCAAAACTAATGGGAGGTTAGCTATAGGGCAATGGTTCAAACCTTTGGTCCTCCAGTTGTTTTGGTCTTCAACTCCCAGAAATCCCTGCCAGCTTATCAGCTGTTAGGAATTGTGGGAGTTGAAGTCCATCTTAGTAGCTGCAAAAAAAAAAAGACACTGAAACAGTAGGCAGCTTGCAGTCCAAACATTCCCATTACTGATTTCTGATTAGGCATGATTTTTCTCTCTTCTTGTATTGCTACCATTCTTTCATTCCTGACAAAAGTGCCTCAACATGTTCCACTTGTACCCATAAATCATAGAAAACATTTTTTTATTCCTCTAAGCTAAGCTAAGTGGAGGTGAAATATTTTTACCGTACTTTAAAAACAGGTGGACTTCCAAAGTATTTCATCTCCTGAAATGCTCTATCACGATAAATAACTCAATGAGGTATTTTTGCAGTGTTGACTAATCTGGAGGTTACCTTTTGCTTTTACTCTTGCTGTGCAATATCTTTTCTGTGCCTTGTG